TGACCCTGACCCTCACCCTCACCCTGACCCTCACCCTGACCCTGACCCTCACCCTGACCCTCACCCTGACCCTGACCCTCACCCTCACCCTGACCCTCACCCTCACCCTGACCCTCACCCTCACCCTGACCCTCACCCTCACCCTCACCCTCACCCTCACCCTCACCCTGACCCTCACCCTCACCCTGACCCTGACCCTCACCCTGACCCTCACCCTGACCCTCACCCTCACCCTGACCCTCACCCTGACCCTCACCCTGACCCTGACCCTCGACCTCACCCTCGACCTCACCCTCGACCTCACCCTCGACCCCTCGACCCCTCGACCCCTGACCCCTGACCCCTCGACCCCTCGACCCCTCGACCCCCCCGACCCCTCGACCCCTCGACCCCTCGACACCCCGGACCCCGGACCCCGACCCCTGGACCCCGGACCCCGGACCCCTGACCCCTGACCCCTGACCCCTGGACCCCTGGACCCCTGGACCCCTGGACCCCTGGACCCCTGGACCCCTGGACCCCGGACCCCTGGACCCCGGACCCCTGGACCCCTGACCCCTGGACCCCTGGACCCCTGGACCCTGGACCCTGACCCCTGGACCCTGGACCCTGGACCCTGGACCCTGGACCCTGACCCCTGGACCCTGACCCCTGGACCCTGACCCCTGACCCCTGACCCCTGGGGCCTGGGGCCTGGGGCCTGGGGCCTGGGGCCTGGGGCCCGGGCCCCTTGGCCCCTGAGCTCTGGGCCCTGGCCCCCTGGGCCCTGGGCCCTGGGCCCTGGGCCCTGGGCCCTGGCCCTGGCCCTAACCCTAGCCCTAGCCCTAGCCCTAGCCCACTGGTCCCTGACCCAACCCACTCACCCTCACACCAAAACAACAACAACAGCACCAACAACCCCTAATCCCGAACCATTCAAATACCTCAAAGCACCCGGAGTTTTCAAGGACATCTAGACTATTACCAATGTGCTTAACAGGTGTTCTTGTTTTACATACAGCCGTTCCACCTTTCTCCATTAATTATATGTTTTGGTAAAAATTCATAAGTTTTAAAAGTATCACTACTTAATTCTTGTGTAAGGGAAGCCAGCCCATTATGAGCTCATGTTTCCCAAAGTTCATGGCCAGCTGTTTTTTAAAAGAACACTAAAAGATTCATATCTCATGAGACAAAAAGTCAGATTTAAATATTTTGCCCAAAGTGGCCCAGACATGTCTAACTGCCTTTAACGCTGGGAAAGAAACTGATTTACTACTACAGTTAAAAATAAGAACTCGCAAGACCCTAAAATACTTCTCAAGTTAAGCCATGTTCACATCTGCCTAGAGCCGTGATGGCAAACCTATGGCACGCGTGCCACGGGTGACACGGGGCGCCATATTGGTGAGCATGCGAACATTGCCCTAGCTCAGCTGCAGCACACACGTGCGCTCAGGCCAACTGATTTTCAGGCCTTCCAGGCCCACCAGAGGTTGGCAAATGGGCCTCCAGGGGGGTGGGGAAGGCCATTTTCGCCCTCCCCAGGCTCCTAGAAAGCCTCTGGAGCCTGGGGAGTGTGAAAAATAGGCCTACCAGACCCACCGGGCCATTGTGTGCCAAAAGCAGGGGGAGCACGGGGGAGGTCACGTTTGCATGCGCGGGGGGGTGGGGCACATTGAATTGTGGGTGTGGGCATGCACGCGCGTGCGACAACCCCCCCCCCCGTGTTCCCCCCGCTTTTGGCACGCGATGGCAAAAAGGTTAGCCATCACTGGCCTAGAGACTTGTATGTTAAGATGGGTAGCTCTCTAAAAATGCAACAAATAAAAACAAATATCAAACAAAACAATATTATTAAGTATCACAGTCTTTCATTCTAATCGTGATTTGCTTTAAAACCTCAAATACATTGTCTAAAATCAAGAAAATTAAAACTACAGTCATCAGTTTAACTATATTTGTTTTTTTCACATAACTGAAACTATTAACAGTTTAAATATTGAAGTGGGACCAAAATAGGCACTGCTGTCAAAGTACGGTACATATCAATCTTGATGCAAAATTCATTTTCACAGCATTAAGCCTTCCCCACAGATGTATATCCTACATGGGAGACATGCTGTGAGGACTCAGCTCTCTCAGGGCGCATCCAATGTGGGATGCAAGTACAGAGTAGAAGAGGACCCATAGCCAGGTGGATGGACGGAGGAGCTCCTCGGTTACAAGGGCGAGGGGGCCCCATCAGAAGACCTGAAGTGCCAGATTAGGGATATGTCCCCATGGAGGAAACCTATCACTAGGGTTGCTAGGACTCAAAAACGAACTCAGTGGCCCGTTATCTGTCTATCAATTGAACTGGATATTCTCTCTCTCTAGCAAGGGACTCTAGGCAGCTTATAGTAGGAAGCCAAAAATAGTGATGTAAAACAATGAAAAACATTAAAATAGGCTTTAAATGTTAAAACATTAAAATTCCAGGTCTACCTAGCTAGCACGTTTATACATTTACCTGTTTCGTAGAAAGATGATACATTTCTTTGTGCATACAGTATGTCCTATACTTTTGTAGAGGTTGCTGTGGGTCTCTGAAAAACGCAAGTGCCTCAGATACCTGGCTTTCTCTACATCTAGGACTATGTTATCACTAAGGAGATAAGAGAATTGGATCAAGCAGCACAGTGCATAAACAGCTTTAAATAGTGCTTCAAGTCCAGCCTTCCTTTGTCATATGTTATAAAAATGAATTAAAAGATCTAATCCTCAAGTTGATAGATGAGTAGCCCAGAGCTATAGTTTAAAAATCTCATTGTTATTGATGAAAACATTAGCTTGTGTGTAGTGTCTTTTAAAAGATGCTCTTTAGGCCATGTAGTTTGTCTTGAAAGAAAGTCTTCTGCCAAAGCTAGCCAGTTGGCTTCTCTTCTCCCAGCAAACTTTTAGTTTTAAAGACCAGGTAAGTCACCTGTTTCCACCAATAAGGGCTTTTTGGAAACAGAAGTTGGACAAATAGGATAATGTAATAGAAAGCAGAGCTCCAGTGTTTATCATGGTGCTCATATTATTTTCCCATCTGAATCAGAATCACTTGATTTTTAGCCTGGGATTGCCGCATGAACATTGCAGTTTTTTTCAAAAAAAAAAAAGAATGTTTATTAATTTTCAAAGTGTTGAGGTAACACTGAATAAGAAAAGGTAATTGTTAAAATTGATAAGAAGTGTGTGCTTATCTTTTGTATTAAAATTGGAACAAGTTTGAAATGGCAATTAGATTATGGGGCTACATAATTTTGGACTTTGCATTCAGGGATGTGGAGGGTCTAATCTGATCCTATTGTGAGGGATGGGATGGCCATTAACTGGCTGACTTACACAGTTATGTCAAATCTTTTTTTCCTTTAATAGTAGGAGTCTTTTTTAGTAATTGTTTCTGCAGTTTGACTTTCACAATTGTAACTTTTTTAAAAAAAAATCTGATCTGCTGTAGTGTAATCACATCAAGTACTCTAAACTGATTTTGTAGCTTTTAAAATTCTTAAATCTTGAATTTGAATTTGTATTCCCATGTTTAACCTATTTATTGGATATTCTGATTTAATCTGTCTTTTAATTTTTGTATTTCTGTTTCTTACTGTTGTGAGCCGCTCTGAGTCCTTCGGGAGAAGGGCGGCATACAAATCCAATAAATAAATAAATACCTGCACAAGATACAAAATCCCTACATTTTTCTCACCATCTTTGGAAATTGCACCTGTTGAGCTGGCAATGGCACTCCCCTTCCCACTTCTTCCCATTCTCTCCTGCAGGGTATCTCCTCCCTCCAGCCTGATGGCAGCCCCTCTCTCTTCCAGCTAACTTCCAAAGTTTTGGGAAGTCTTTTTGTTTTCACTTGCCTCAGCCGTTGGGAAAAGACGGGAGGTGCCCATTGCCTCTCTTGAACAGGCTAATTCCAGAAGGGGCACCTCTGCTCCTGCTCCTGGGAGAGGCATGCCACACCCTGAGCCTGAGTGATCCAACTGATCCTCTTGAGAGTGGGGGAGTTAGACAGCTCCCCCTCCCTGGTTAAAAGCCCCCACCTGGGGAGAAGAACAGCCCAGTGGATTCACCACTGAGGCAGCAATGCCAAAGTGCCAGGAAGGTCTGATAATGGGTCAGGTGGGCAACTATACTTCACCTGCTGTACCTATGCTGTGAAGGGCTTGGGGAAGAGACCCTCATCCTGGGCCTGGAGGGAGAAGCCTGCCCAGTCCCAGGCCTCCTTGCTCTGGCTCTTTGCTTGTGGAAACCCAGCCATTGAGTAGGTTAAGTGCAGGACTGAATGTAACTACTGTGACTCACTGTCTCCTCACTGAGCCAGGGAATGTGCATGTACACACATGTACACAGAGAGGGAGGGAGGGAGGGAGGGAGGGAGGGAGGGAGAGAGAGAAGCCCCAGATCTCCCTTTGGTGATTCTGCTCCTGGGGAGTTCTGGATGCACTTCTGATTCCAGAGCCAGCCCTGATTTCCAACAATGCTCCCCCTCCTCTTTCCATATGGCTTCCATCCCATCCCTGTTTCCCCTCCATCCTGCCCCACCCGCCCTAAGGATGTTATTTATGGCCTATCTTTCCCAAGGCCTGTTTGGCAACTGGCCAGGAAAGTGAGGCAAGAGGATGGGAGTTGGGTTCCACTTCTTGGCTTTTCAACCATCCATAATCAATTTTGCAGAGCGCTTCCTCCTGCCCTGCTCCCAGCCCCCCCCCCCCCCCCATGAGAAGCACAGGTGCTATTTTTAGCTGCAGACATGTTGCTCTGAGATGATCCCCTGGTGGGGGAGGGGGAATTGCCTGTGAATTCTGCTGAAGGGTGAACCTCCAGCTTGTTCCTGACTCACACCTTTCCCTGAGAGTCTGAGCAACAGCTGCTGCTCCTGTTGCTCCGGGAGGGGGGTGGCTGACAGTGCTCAGCGGTACATCCCCCCCAACCCCGCTGTGGGAGGAGGCTGCAGCCTGGGCACTGGCTCTCCTCCCTCCCCTGCTACCACCCCAATCGCCACCCTCTGCGGGACCCGCCCAAACTCGGTGGGAGAGAAACGCGAGTGAGTTTTTGCAGGGCGGGTACACACCCGGCCTTGGCTTGGTCAAAGTCTCTTCCTGGCTCCTCTTGGTATGAAGCCCCAGGGGGAGCGCACGGACAGCTGTCCCCGGTGCCACTCAAGGCCACGAGGGCTATGGGTGATGCAGCCACGGGGCCCCGCTTCTGACGTGCTCAGCTTCTGGTGAGTAGCCGTCCCGTCTGCTTAGTGCCGGCCCTTCAGTAGCTGCCACAAGGGCACCGTGGCCGGAGAAGTTCATTCTTAGGGAGACCTGGGGCCGTCGGAGCGCCTCCCGTTGCTGGCCATGACCCGGGTCCAAGAGGGACTCCCCAGGTCTTGCCTCGGTTCTTTCTTGCCCGCAGATCCCCGCCTGATTTCTGGAGCCTGCTGGAGATATGTATTTGCTGCGCTGAGCCGTCAGCCTGGCTTCCGCAGGGCTGGGAGGGCAGTGCAGCTGCGGGAGCCCGGGCCCGCCCGTGCAGCTGCAAGCTGTCACCGAGCGCCGCTGTACAAGTCGGAGCTGCCTCCAGAGCGGCGGCGGCAGCAAGTGCCGCGGATCTGTCCCATTGCGCTGCTCGCCGTTTGCCTAGAAGCGGAGACCTCGGGCTGCCGCTAACTCTGCTTTCTCCCTTCCTTGGGCGCAGAGCAAAGGGGCCCTCTTATGCTAGCTCCAGCGGCCGACAGCTAGTGAGAAGCAGCCCCCAACCTATGCTGTTGCTGGGCAAGGAGGCCCGTTGAGCTAAGGGAGCAAATAAGTTTAAGTCAGTCGGTCTGGGACTTGAGAAACCGAAACAGCCTATTGTGAAAAGGAAAGAAGAAACTCTCCCGGCAAGCCACAGGGAGGATCTATCATGCTTTCTGCTCAGGGTTTGCACTCAGGACTTCTGGATGGTGACTCACGGCCCTTGCCAGCCTCTTGCTTCAGAATAACAGAGTTGGAAGGGACCTTGAAGGTCTTTTGGTTCCCCAGCAGGAGACCCCATGCCATTCCAGACAAGTGGCTGTCCAATTTCTTCTTAAACATCTCCAGTGATGGAGCACTCACTACTTCTGGTGGCAGGTTGTTCCACTGGTTAATTGTTCTCACCAGAAGGAAATTTCTCCTTCATTCGAGGTTGGATCTCTCTTTAATGATCCTCCATCCATTACTTCCTGTCCTGCTGTCTGGTGTTTTGGAGAGTAGGTTGACCCCTCGGGTTCTGCCTGGTCCCTTCCTGCATTTCCTGCTCCTCTTTCCAAGGGCCACAAGGCCCATACCCTCCCAGGAGCTGCCCTTTCTGTCTCTGTCCATCCACACACACACCCTGCCGCTGCCAAACCTCCTTTCCCTTCTAGGGTCCCTGGGCTGGAAATGTCAGGCCACCTGTCCGGGGAGGCTGAACCTTCTAGCAAAACCTGGGACTCAGTGGAAGAACAAGAAGTCTGCCTCTTCTGCTTTGTGCAGCACTGACACTCTGTGCCAGTTAAATCATGCTCTCACCTCTGTCTCCCCCAACTCTTCCTTGTTGAGGACCTACAGAAGCTGAGCTGTTGTGACATTGTGGAAGGGGACTTTTGCTCCACCCCCAGGTTCTTAAGGGAGACCACCACCACCCCTTATGATATCCCTGGCGGTGGGACTGCACGTAGGACAGCTGCTGGCCTGCTTGGCAGTGGGTCCACCACTTGGCTGATCTCCAGGGCATGCCCACATGGCAGCTATTCTGGATGGCTGTGATGGTTGGAATCTGGCAGCCCAGACTGCTGCTTTGTGGGTGGCAGATCCATCTGTTTGAAACCCTGTGGCCCTTTCTTGGTACTGATCCCAGCCAGCAGAAGGGGCTCCCCCAAGTGCCCCCTATCCTTTCAAGGACATGGCCTTTTCAGGTCCCAGGCATATGCGGGGAGGGCCAAGTCCTTGGAGGGATAGAGGATGCGTAATTCACCCAATGTGCCCCTTGCTTCACTCAGGACGATATGACATAAAAGTTGAAACCATGTTGCTTTTGGTCTATCTATGTGGTCACTCAGGGTCAAAACTACTGGCTGGAACATAATCGGTTGAAATGTTTTTTTAGATATGCAAAATCAATCTGTATATTGTTCACCTCTGCACTGAGAACGCCCCCCCCCCGCCAGCCACTCCCCTTAGCCCCACAGAGAGGAACCCTCTTCTGCCTGTCCCAGGTGAGAGCCTTTTGCTTTAGGTGCTCCAGACAGTGGGAGGGCAGGTGGGGCTGACAACCCAAGGAGACCCCAGAAAGTCTTCCTTGCCCATCCATCGCTGAGGAAACTGGGAGGCTGGTCCAGGGATGCCCTCCTCGAGCGTCCTGGAATGGCAGGCTCAGGGATCAAAAGCATTTTGGGGGGGGGACACCCACATTAAGAGATATTGTCCTCCCAAAGTTGGTTGAATTTCCAACACTTGTCTTCATCCGCTTGGCATTCACACAGCCTGGGTTCAACAGGAATTGCTTTGCTTTTTAAACTTAGTGGTAGACCCTTTAAATCACAGTTCGCCTTCTCCAAGGCGGGATGCAAACAAATGATCATTCACTGAGGCCTCCCTGAAGAAGCCACTGCCCACAGGGCCACGACAGCTGGCCAAGACCTGCACTAAGTATCTGCTGCTGCGCTGCCAAATCCTGGGAAAAAGCAGCCTCTTTGCCGGCAGCTCGGAGTTGGGTCCGGCCTTCAGGGTGAAGGCTGTCAGCGCAGGTCCTTCGTGACTCTGCTTGCCAGGAGACTCAGGTAATGCTTGGCCCACATAGTCAACTCAGGGCAAGGCAGCCTTCAATCACTTTTCTCCCCTGAGGGATGGTCAAGACCCGGACTGAGATTTTTCCCTACTTTCTGAGATGTCTCATCTTCTCTCTCTGAAGGGCACTTTTATCTTTTGCTCCCGATTCTTTTCTACCACAATTTTTTCCCTCAGTTTGGAAACTGGTCAGAAAGCCTCACCAGCCGTCCGCCTGCAGAGCTGGCAAAGGGGTCACGCCAGGGAAGAGCCTCGGCACTCACATTCTGTCTCTAATAGCTCTGCTATTCTGTTTTTATTCTACTCTCAAGGCCCTTGGAGGGCAGGCATTGGCCCCTAGGCTGTGAACTGGGGGCTGGGAGGGGGAGAACTGGGGTGTGGGAGGCTGTGAATCATAAGGGGGCAGAAGTGGGGATGGGGGGCGGGGGGGCTCTGCACCAGAAGGAGGCGAATGGTCTTCCTGAGAGACTCAAGGCAGATCATTATTTCATTTCATTTTTTTTTTCATTTCATTTTATTAGATTTATATACCGCCCTACTCCCGAAGGACTCAGGGCGGTGAACAGCCAGAAAGATAAAACACACAAACTATAAAATTTAAAAGACAATATAAAAACCCATTAAATTTGGCCCAAAACAATTTAAAACACCCCTAATGTTTTAAAACCAATTTTAAAAGTTACAATTAAAAGGGAAGTTAGGCCAGGCCAGCCTGTTGAAATAAAAAGGTCTTGAGAGCATGGCGGAAGGTGCGTAAATCCAGGATCCTCCGTATCTCCGGGGGGACCACCATTCCAGATTGGTGCCCCCACAGAGAAGGCTCTCCCCCTGGGGGCCGCCAGTCGACACTGTTTGGCCGACGGCACCCTGAGGAGCCTCTCTCTATGTGAGCGTACTGGCCGGTGAGAGGCTACTGGTGGCAGAAGGCGGTCCCGTAAGTACCCTGATCCTAAGCCATGGAGCGCTCTAAAGGTGGTAACCAAAACCTTGAAGCGCACCCGGAAGACCACCGGGAGCCAGTGCAGCTCGTGCAGGAGAGGTGTCACATGGGAACGCCACGTCGCTCCCATAATCAACCGCGCGGCTGCACTCTGAACCAGCTGGAGCCTCCGGGTGCTCCTCAAGGGGAGCCCCATGTAGAGAGCATTACAGTAGTCCAGGTGGGAATTAAAGCATTTGCATATCTTTGGCACTACAGTTTGGCCAGTATACACCTTTTCTCTAAGCTTATAAGATATTGGCAAAGCGTTTTCTTTCCTTCCTGACAAAGATTTTGGAAATGTTCATTTCCCTCTGGTGTTTTCCTGCAGGCAGCTATCCCACTGGAGAGTCCTGCTCCTGATTGGCCTGGTCTTTGCATGCACAGTTCAGGTAAGTCCACCCAACCCAAACCCAGAAATGCTCTCCAGAACTGGGTGACAAGTCTCCCCTTCAGCCCACTCCCCCCTTAAGAAGAGAGCCTTTGGGTCAACTCTGCTGACAGCATCCGGGAACTGGTCACCTCTTCTCATGGAGGAAGAGGAGAAGGAGGAGGAAGCAGAGGCATTTATACAGGGTTTCTAAATTAGGGTCTCAAGGAAGAGAGCTGCCATCCTGGATGCCTCACTGCTCCCTTGGTGAGTTGGCTTAGTCCCTGGAGGGGAAGGCCCGGCAGAGCCTGGCATGGGGGAGGATTGAAAAGAGCCACCTCTGAACTAACTGGTTGCTGACCCTTAACTCAGAGGATTCCTGTGCAGAGGCTTTTAGCAATAGATCAGTCAAGCTGAACCTTCACGGGTAGACTTGGCTTTTCACCCCTGACAGTCATCTGGAACCAGATATTGTGAGAATGGGTGCCCAGCCAAAGGAGGTGCCGTGTCCGCAACTTCACCCACCCATGAGTGTAACAGAGGAAACAATAAATGCCCAGCAGCATGGCATGTTCCTCGTTCATGCCAGACCACAAGGCTGAAAGTTGGCATGCTCCTCAAATGCTTTTACTTCAAAGGAGCATTTTCTCTTCTTTTTTTAAAGAAATCCATTTCTGCAGTTGTGCCTTCAGGCCTGCCATTTAGCCAATTTAAATGACCCTGGAGTAGTTTCTGGGTTGCTCTGACCACGAGCATCCCTGGAAGGATCTGGGAGGCGGTCGATACATCCACTGCATTCATGAGCATCCCTTGGAGTGGGGCTGGGCCCCCTTCGTCCCCAGAAGGCCCGGAGGAGCATCTGTAAGGAACAGGGAGGCTACAGCCTCCTTCTCTCCTTGGAGGACTCTGCAGGGCAACCATTATGGTGTGCTTTTTCTTATTGGAAAGAAAGGGGGGCAGGCAAGGCCCAGGGGGGAAGCTGGGTTGTGACCCAGAGTCTTGGGGTACCTTTTGTGTTTGGGGAAAGAGGCTTATGGAGGGAGGGAAAGAGATGTCTTCCATGAAAGCATTTCGGTCTCCTGGACCGGAGAGCTTTGGTTTGAGAATCCTGGTCATCCGCAGCCCCTTTTTGTGATCTTTTAGAAGTCACGGAGGGCAGAGACCGTGCCAGAGGGTTGGAGAAAGGAGATGTTGTTTCTGCCTTCAGAAAGGGAAAATAAGAGGACTGAGGTCATTGCAGACCAATCAGCTTGACGTCGTGCCACACAGACCTCCAGAACAGATTTTATGCTGTCAGTTTGTGAGTAAGAAGGAAAGAATGTGTGGCTTGGCAGGAGCCAGCAGGGCTTTATCAAGAATAAGTCAGATCATTTTTGACAGAATAACCCATTCAATTGACCAGGGAATGGGGTGAACATGGTGTCCTTTGACTTCAGTAAAACATGGAACAAATTAATCAATTATTATTGATCATGTACCATCAAGTCATTGTTGACTGTTAGTGGCCACATAGGTGGCATCTGTCCCTAGCCTGATTCCTCAGGTACTGCCATCAGCACTGTGCCCTTTTCTGCTGGCTGTCCCCCTCCACTTTCCTTCCACCTATCCCAAACTCTCACTCATGCAGCTGATACAATGGGTCTAAGCTGGATAATTTGAGCATTGTCATTTGTCCCTCAAGTAAGAACTCCCAGACTGACAAAATCTCCTAAGAAATCCTGGTAAAAAAACTGACAAACTCTGATTTTTGGGGAAATGATAAATGTCTGTTAAAAGTAAAGGAATATAAAGTTGGTTTATTTGATTGAGGTTAATATATAAGTGTTATTTCTTGTAATTCTTAATGGACTTATGTTGTTGCGTAGGACTGAATGATGAAGCTTTAAGAATTAGTAGGTACGAAATGAGGTGAGATATGGAAAGAAGAGATCTTTTGTGATAGGATAAGAGAAAGTGATAAGTTATCAAAATTGTCTTGATGAAGGGGGAGTCACTTCTTTATAAGTTCCCCTTTTATCTGTGTTTATTTTAAAAATTCTCTGCACTTCTTATTTTTACACGTTTCACTTTGTGTTAGTTTTTTAAATCAATTTTTAATCTTTATTAATTTAAAGCTGGAGTTGGAACTCATCATTGATTTAATTATTTGTTTTCTTGGAATTTTTCTTTGTAAAGCAAAGTTTTAAACACTACAATTTTCTTAATCCTTATTGAGCCCCTTTTTCAGCTTTGTCCTTTTTTTTCCTCAATAAAATTTGGTCACTGCACTGAGAAGCCACGCTCCCTCATGGCTGCCAGAGGCCTGGGGCAAGAAAATGCTTTGGAAAAGTGCCCACCAGTGCCGAGCAGCCAACCAAGTGCTGCCATAGCTGATGGGCTTGGTTGGCTACCCTGATCCAGCCTGGCATCCATCATGATCAGTTCATGATGAGACACAGAGTCTTATGCCAATCAATTTGTTTATTTGTTTCATAAACTTGTTTCATAAACTTCATAAACCAATTCCCATTGACTCCCAAACTGAAATATAATAAAACAATGCCAGTATTTATTTATTTTTATTTATTTTATTTATTTATTTTATTTTATTTCTATACCGGCCTTCTCCTGCAGGACTCAGGGCGGTGTACAGCCGAGATAAAACATAGCATATAAAATTTAAAAACAGTTTAAAAAACAATTAAATAATTTTGGCCCAAAATTTAAAACAACCCAATTAAAACCGAATTCAATTAAAATGCAGAGGATGGAATCAAGCCAGCCCGGCTAGATGGAATAAGTGTGTTTTCAGGGCCCGACGAAAAGTCCGGAGGTCTGATATCATGCGTATCTCAGGGAGTAGGTCATTCCAGAGGACAGGTGCTGCCACAGAGAAGGCTGTCCCCCTGGGGGTCGCCAGCCGGCAGTGTCTGGCCGACAGCACCCTGAGGAGGCCCTCTCTGTGCGAGCGAACCAGTCGGTGGGAGGCTATTGGCGGCAGAAGGCGGTCCTGCAAATACCCCGGCCCTAAGCCATGGAGTGCTTTAAAGGTGGTCACCAACACCTTGAAGCGCACCCGAAAGACCACAGGAAGCCAGTGCAGCTCGTGCAGGAGAGGTGTCATATGTGAGCGCCCCGTTGCTCCCATAATCCCCCGTGCGGCCGCATTCTGGACTAACTGCAGCCTCCGGGTGCACCCCAAGGGGAGCCCCATGTAGAGAGCATTGCAGTAGTCCAGGCGGGAAGTGACGAGTGCCTGAGTGACCGTGCGTAGGGAGTCCCGACCCAGAAAGGGGCGCAACTGGCATATCAGGCGAACCTGATAAAAAGCCCCCCTGGCCACGGCCGTCATGTGCTCTTCTAAAGACAGCTGTGCATCCAGGAGGACGCCTAAGTTGCGAGCCCTCTCTGTGGGGGCCAGTGATTCACCCCCAATAGCCAGCGATGGCGCCAACTGGCTATATCGGGACGCCAGAAGCCACAGCCACTCGGTCTTGGAAGGATTGAGTCGGAGCCTGTTTCTCCCCATCCAGGCCCGCACGGCCTCCAGGCACTGGGACATCACTTCAAGGGCATCGTTGGGATGGCCTGGGGTGGAGATGTACAGCTGAGTGTTGTCAGCGTACTGATGGAACTCCACCCCAAAGCCACGGATGATCTCACCCAGTGGCTTTACATAAATGTTGAACAGAAGGGGCGAGAGGACCGACCCTTGTGGCACCCCACAAGCAAGGCGCCTCGGGGTCGACTGCTGCCCCCCTGTCAACACAGATTGCGTCCAGTCAGAGAGGTAGGAGGAGAACCACCGCAGAATGGTGCCCCCATCCCCAGCCCCTTCAACCGGTGCAACATGATACCATGGTCGATGGTATCAAAAGCTGCTGAGAGATCTAACAGGACCAGGGTAGAGGAACAACCCCTGTCCCGAGCCTTCCAGAGATCATCCACCAACGCGACCAATGCCGTTTCCGTGCTGTGCCCAGGCCGGAAGCCGGACTGGAGGGGGTCCAGATAGACAGCTTCATCCAGGTACTGGGGAAGCTGCCGCACCATCACACTCTCAACAACCTTCGCAACAAAGCGAAGGTTGGAGACTGGACGATAGTTAGCCAAAACAGCCGGATCCAGAGAGGGCTTCTTGAGGAGGGGCCTCACCACCGCTTCTTTCAAAGCAGCCAGCAGGACCCCTTCACTCAGAGAAGCATTAACAATCCTCTGGAGCCAGCCTCGTGTAACCTCCTGGGAAGCCAGTACCAACCAGGAGGGGCACGGGTCCAATAAACATGTGGTCGCGTTCAGCCGTCCCAGGATCCTGTCCACGTCCTCTGGAGCCACAGGATCAAACTCCTCCCAGATAACACTCTCAAGACCTGCCTCAGTCATCCCGTCCGGACTTACGCAGTCAGAGGCCAGGCCTTCCCGAATCTGACCGATCTTGTCATACAGATACTGCACAAAATCCTCAGCTCGACCCTGCAAGGGATCATCCCGCGCTTCCAGATGGAGGAGGGAGCGGGTCACCCTAAACAGGGTGGCTGGGCGATTATCTGATGATGTGATAAGAGCGGCAAAATAGCTGGATTTCGCCGCTTTTATCGCCACTAGGTAGTCTTAATATGAGACCTCACCAGTGTTCGGTCGGATTCGGAGCGGCTGGTCCTCCAACTACTCTCCAGGTGTCTTTTCCGGCGCTTTATCTCCCTCAGCTCCTCGGAGAACCAAGGAGCTAGATGAGTTCAGTGCCGGGTCAGAGGCCACAAAGGCACGACGTGGTCCAAAGCCCCAGCGGCCGCATTGTCCCAGGTGGCCACCAAGTCTTCAGCCGAGTCATGAGCCAGAGTCTCAGGAAATGGCCCAAGCTCCATCTGGAACCTATCAGGATCCATCAGGCGCCTGGGGTGGAACCACCTGGTTGGTCCCACCTCCCTGCAGCAGGGTGCAGCAGTTAGAAAGTCCAGTCGAACAACAGGATTATTTTTACAAGATGTTACATACTAAAATATTGCAATGGGACTACAGATCTATTTTAATTATGGGAGATTGGAATGGAGTAATTGATTCTAAATTAGATAAAAAGAGCTTGGCAAAGTCTAGAATTAGATTACCACAGACCTTTTTTGATATGAAAGAAGATATGGAACTAAAAGATGTTTGGAGAATACATAATCCAAATGAATTGGATTACACTTTTTTTTCTGATAGACATAGATCTTTTTCTAGGATTGATTTTATTTTGTTGTCAAATGATCTACTTGTTAAGACAAAAAGAACAAAGATTTTTCCAAGAACTTTGACTGATCATAGTCCTGTATGGATAGAAATCGAGATGGATAAGGTTGAGAGACCACTGACCAGAGACAAAAACTAAGTCCAGAGTGTGTCCACCCGTGTGAGTAGGGTCATGAATTAACTGAGTAAGGTCCATGGCCGTCATGGAAGCCATGAACTCTCGAGCCACCTCAGACGTTTCACTGATAGATGGCAGGTTGAAATCCCCCATGACTAAAAGTCTTGTACTATAAGTACAACCGCCACCTCGGCTATAACGTTGAGCAGCTCGGGCAGGGCCGTTGCCACGTGGCAGGGAGCCAGGTACATGATCAACAAGCCCATCTGTACTCCACGGCCCCACTTCACAAAAAGGGACTCACATCCGGCTATCTGTGGAACAGTGGTCTCCCTCGGATCAAGACCTTCCTTTATAATAACCGCCACCACCCCCCGCCCCTTCATTATAAAAACAAGGAACAAAAGATGGCAAAAACTGGCAACCAGATGCACCACAGGCACCTTATCCGCTGCCCAAAATAGGTCAGCTGCAGGCTTCATGAGGGCTCCCTCCTCCCCGCTCCCACCAGCAGCCATCAGGTGCCCTTCCCTTGGTCAGAGGGCAGAGGGGATGGTGAAGATCCTTGAGGGGGGCATCCTCACCTCTCCATTCAGTCCATGCTAGCAAGCGATGGTAACAAGCTGCCCCTGTGCTTGGCATCTGTAGCAGCGAAGGGGGAGGGAGGGGGGATACCACTGCTGCTGTCTGGGAGGGTAGGATGCCCTCTACACCATGGTCACCCACAAGCTGTTCTGGCAGCCATCATTCAGCAGCACAAGGGCAGTCAAAGTGCTCCCTTAGAGGACAGCTCAGCCTTGGGGGGGGGAGGCGTCCAGTAGCTCTCCCAAAATGGAGGGGAGGGAAACAATCCTGATTATTCAGGAGCAGGCATGGCCCTTCTGGACCAGGTCATGCCTGCACGGAGGGGGCATGATCCTCCCTTTCTCCCTGCCAGTTGGCAGGCAGAGCACAATATGGGAGGCTCACACCGGAGCAGCCATCCGTCCATCCATTGGACCAAAGAGAAAGATGGCCAGGAAATGTCATCTTCACTGATGCTAATCAGGAGAGCAGAGGCAAAACAGGGATGGCCAAGATCCATAGGAGCCATCCTTGAGACAGGCTCCTCATAGGAAGCCTCAGGAACAGGAAATGCGTTCTGAGTCTCACCGCAGTCCTGTCTGTTCAGCCAAGAGCCTCCTCTCCCAAAGAGGGTCTCTCAAGCCCAGCTGGTTGACCCACTGCCCCAGCAGCTTCAGAGAGGGCACCCCCTGCCATTGCCAGAAGAGAGGGGAGTTAGAAAAGGCCAGGCTGCCCGTCCAGGACTGGAGCCGGGTGGAGGGAGGAGAGAAGCCTGGCTCTCAGGAAGTTGCCCTAGCCTGTAAGAGACATCTCCTGCAGATGGGACCTGAGGTGGCCTCCTCAGGGCTGCCCTGTCTTGGCCCCTTCAATCTGGGGGAGTTCTGGTCTTGCTTCCAAGAGAGACAGAGGCCAAAACATGGCAAAGTCAGAAATAATACACACACACACACACACACACACACACACACACACTTTGTAGGCTGTGCTGAGTGGTACTGGGCTGGTGCCTGTCTCCTCACTGTTGACTTTGCCATTTTCTTTTAAGTAGGGAAGAAACAATGGCCCACTGGACCTTGACCTGGAATTAGAGCCCCAGCACCGACAGCAACCAACCCATGGGACATGGACACACTGGGGCAGCTGGAGTGCTTGTTCCAGTACCTGCGGGGACGGCGTCTCCTTCCGGATCCGGAGGTGTATCAGGTGGGCACACGAGACCTGTTTAGATGTAGCCGCTAAGGGAAAAGACCCAACAGAATACAGAATAACAAGTATAACAATAAGGGACCTTGGAGGTCTTCTAATTCTACCCCCTGCTCAAACAGGAGATCCTATACCATTCTGGACAAATGGCTGTCCAGTGTCTTCTTAAAAACCTTCAATGTTGGAGCACCTACAACTTCTGAAAGCAAGCAGTTCCTTCTAGTTAATTGTTCTCACCATTGGGAAATTTCTCCTTAGTTCTAGGTTGATTCTCTCCTTGATTATTTTCATTATTTCTTGTCCTGCCTTCACACACTTTGGAAGAATAAATTGACCCCCTCCTCTTTGTGGCAGCTCTTTAGATATTGGAAGACTGCTATCATGTCAGCCCTAGTTCTTCTTTTCATTAAACTAGATATACCCAATTCCTGCAACCATTCATCCTATGCTTTAGCCTCCAGTCCCCTAATCATCTTTGTTGCTCTTCTCTGCACTCTTTTTAGAATCCCAATATCGTTTTTTGGATCAGGATGACCAAAACTGGACAAAGTATTCCAAATGTGGTGTGACCAATGCAGTATACAGCAGTACTACCACTTCATGTGACCTTGATATTCTCCCTCTGATGATGCAGTCTAGGAGTGCATTGGCTGTTTCAGCAGCTGCAGCACACTGCTGCCTTTACTTAAGTGATTGTCCACTAGGACTCCTAGATCCTTCTCACAGTTGCTACTACTCCACCCCACCCACATTATATATCTGTGCATTTGGTTTTTCTTGCACAATGTAATGCCTTACATTTTTTCACCACTGAATTGCATTTTGTAGATAGGGCCCAGTGGTCAAATCTGCCAAGATCCTTCTATATTGTCAGCTGTTCCACGCTTCCCCCCCATTAAATGCAGTCCCAGAGCTGCAGTGGAGTGTTTGTAGGAGAGGAACAAGCTAAATCAGAATATAAAACAACAACAAAATTTGTGATATTCTCCAGAATTGTTGTCATAGTCTGGTCTTCTTCAGTTTCTTGCCATGTTTCTTTGGATCTTCCATCCATTCCTGTAGCCTTCCAGCTCAGTGATGACTAGAGTGTTGATCTAGCTTCTTCTTCTAGAACTAGCATTTCTGGGGGGTCCTTGGGGCTCTCTGGGCTTGGTTGTTTTCATGCAGATAGCAGGTAACATCATCAGTGTTAGAAAGGAATGGGGTTTGCTCTCAGTTTATATTCTAGTGCCTCAGCCTGTCAGTGTTGGGGTGTGTGCGTGTGTGATCTTAGAGGTTCTTTGGTTGGGATGCTTGTTTGGCTTGTTTGTCAGGACGTGGATTGGGGTATTGTTGATTGTTGGTCTGATGCTAACCTTTTTTTTTAACCTTTTGCAGGCGGGGAGATGGTTTGGTCTTTTTGTTCCCTTTTTGGCTGGATTGATTGTGTCTTTTTGCATGGTCTGTAGATATTATTTAGGCCTTTGTGTCTACTAATGGCCAATTTGTCAAAGTGTCAGGCTTCTAGAAGTTCTCTAGCATTTTTGGACTTGGCTTGATCTAGGTCACAATTTCCCATTTGAAACTATGATTAAGTCTGCCGATATCTTGTGAAATTGAAGAGTTTTCATCATGTCTTCTGATTGCTCGTTGGTGTTCATGGATGAGTTCTGCCAGCCTTCTGTCTGTTTGCCCTACATTGTGGCTGTTGCACTCATTACATTGTATGTTGTAGATGTTACGTAGGGATGTACAGAGCACTCATTTGCATGCCGCCACTGATTCACTAATCTAGCGGCGGGAAAAATAAACCCCTGTCAGTGGCCAGCGAGACTGCCGGAGCTCTTTAAAAAGAGAGCTCTGGCAGCCTGCCACTCTCTTGCTCCTGATCACAGCTGGAAATCAAGTGCTGAAACGGACTACGGTGTCCCGCCTCTTCTATTCACGCCCCCTATCTAACAGTAGATGACTTTTGTTTTTACTTCTGGGGCTGCTGGGTCTTTTGCTTTACTTAGGATATTTGGGGGGGGGGGCTTTAGCTGACTTGTGTGTTTCGCTGATTCCATGTGGCTATAGTGGTCTGTTGGTGGTTTGTGAGATGTTCTTGATGTATGGCAGTGTTATTCTTTTTAGGGCTTGTGTTGTTTGTGCTGTATTGGGTTGAGTGGTCAGGCACATTTTGAGAAAGTTGCATGGATATCCATTTTGTTGGAATATGCTATATAGATATTCTGTTGCTGCAATGAGTTTGTGCTCATCTACATAGTTCTTACACAGCTTCTCTTGTGGGAGGTTGGGTTGTTGCTTTGGTAGTGGACCACTTGGTTGATGAGGATGGTTTTTCTATACACTTGTGCTTCTAGTTTGCCATTGTGGTCTCTGTTGATCAGGATGGCCAGGAAGGGTAGTAAGTTGTTTTTTCTCTAATTGGTCCTTTTTTATTATGGTGAAGGTGTCATCTACATATCTGATCCATGTTTTGGATTGTATCTGTGGGAGTGCTATGGCTTCTAGATGTTGCCTAATAACCTCCTTAATAAGTCACGAAAGCAGTAATGCCAGACGTGTACCTTTAATTTGTTGGTAAGTTTGTCTATGTTGAGGGTAAAACTTCCCTCTGCATAGTAGGCAACAGACCGGACAGCAAAGAGATACGTTGCTGGTTAAACACACAGATACTCACAGACTCTGAACAGTGAAAAAAAAAAAACATTCTTTACTCTTAGTGAAAAAACAAACTTGGTTTCTCAAAACAATGATAACACGTCTTCGAATAATCACTCTCCAACACAAAACATAGTTTGCTTACAGTTCTCTTCAGTCACACACAGTCCCTCTTCAGAAGATCAGTCATCAAACAGCAGGAGCAGGAGCTCCCGGGCTTCCTGTCTACTTTTATGGCTGCCTGATAATAGCACAGCCAATCATTCTTTCTTATAACATTTAAAGTCACAAACATAGTTTTTCTATATATTACCTACCCAACCGTAGGATAAATATCCAACATTCTCCCCTTTGGGTAGCTTAATATATTTACAATCTCAAACCATATTGTTCACATGTATCTTTATGTTTCCTACTTCCTTGTGCTTTCGTGAAATGATCAGCCACCTTGTCTTCCGATGCACAGTCTACAAGTTCTATCATCTTGTTCATTATACACTCTCTTACATTTAGATACCGAAGATCTGTATACTTCGTTCTAGTTTTCACAGCTATATTCGTCGCCATTTGAATCGCTGCCTGATTATCTTCGTATACTGTTATAGGATCTCTTATATTCATTCCTATATCTAGCATCAGTTGCTTAATACTAATCAGATCAGTACATAATAAAGATAAAACAAGAAAATTCTGCCTCCATTGTAGACATACTCAAATGCTTCTGTCTAGTTGAACGCCACCATATCAAAGACTTTCCCAGAAATATAGCGATTCCTGAGGTTGATTTCCTTGTATTCACATCTGTTGCGAAACTAGCATCCGCATAAGCAATTACGGGTAAATCTTCTGATGGTTGTAGATATAATGCATGATGCATGGTATATTTCAAATACCTTGGGATACGTTTTGCTCCCTGCCAGTGTCTTTCTGTAGGTTCCTTGTTAAACCTAGCCAATTGGTTAACACTATTAAGAAATATCGGGCCTAGACCAATTGCTGATATATGATAAGCTGCCAACCAGCGATTGGTAAATCCCTTTATCAAACAACGGACTGTTTACATCAGTGTTACAATAGTCTTGAACCATAGGTGTCTTTGATGGTTTACATAACTCCATCCTAAATTGTTTTAATAAATTATTGATTTTATCAGTTTGGGATAATTTAAATCCTCCCCTGGTTTTTTCAATTCGTAAACCCAGGTATTGTTGTATCTCCCCTAGATTTTTAATTCTGAAATCAGTTTTTAATTGATCAACAATCCTGCTGGTCTCTTGTTCATTTTCTGTAATCAAAGCTATGTCATCAGTAAAAAGAAGTAATAACTGCATCCATAATGTTTTCCCATGTTTGCTCATGAATCCTGTGGGTGCCTCTGACCTGCTAGCTTTGGAAATAACACAGTCGCCTCATTTCAATCTCCTGTGGTTGTTGGAGAAGCACATCTTGCAGGGCAGGGCTGAGGATTTTGTTCAATTCCTGCATGACAAAGTCACTCAGATTCAGGAAGGTCTGGACTCTGATTGGGTAGATTCGGATGGGGTGATGGGGGGGGGGGTCTTGAGAATATTATCTGGGAGGGGTTTGACCTTGTAACTCCCTAGGATGTGGACAGGATTCTGGGTAGGCTTAGCGCTGCCACATATTTACTGGACCAGTGCCCCTCCTGGTTGGTGCTGGCCTCCCGAGAGGTTACAAGAGGCTGGCTCCAGGGGATTATTAATGCTTCTTTGAGTGAGGGCTTCTTCCCCAGTTCTTTGAAAGAGGTGATGGTGAGGCCTCTCCTCAAGAAGCCTTCCCTGGACCCGGCTGTATTAGCGAATTATCGCCCAGTCTCCAACCTTCGCTTCGTGGCGAAGGTTGTTGAGAATGTGGTGGCGCGACAGCTTCCCCGGTACCTGGATGAAGCTGTCTATCTAGATCCATTCCAGTCGGGCTTCAGGCCAGGGCACAGCACGGAAACAGCATTGGTCACATTGGTTGATGATCTCTGGAGGGCTCGGGACAGGGGTTGTTCCTCGGTCCTGGTCCTATTAGATCTCTCAGCGGCTTTTGATACCATCGACCATGGTATCATGCTGCGACGATTGAAGGGGTTGGGAGTGGGGGGCACCGTGTTGCGGTGGTTCTCCTCCTTCCTCTCCGACCGTATGCAGTTTGTGTTGGCAGGGGGGCAGAGGTCGACCTTGAGGCGCCTTGTTTGTGGGCTGCCGCAAGGGTCAGTCCTCTCGCCCCTTCTGTTCAACATTTATGTGAAGCCGCTGGGCGAGATCATCCGTGGCTTCAGAGTGAGAGTCCATCAATACGCTGACGACACTCAGCTGTACATCTCCACTCCGAACCACCTCAATGATGCCCTTGACATGATGTCCCAGTGCCTGGAGGCCATGCGGATCTGAATGGGGAGGAACAAGCTCAAACTCAACCCCTCCAAGAGCGAGTGGCTGTGGTTTCCGGCGTCCCGATATAGTCAACTGGGTCCATCGTTGACTATTGGGGGCGAGATCTTGGCCCCGAGAGGGCTCGCAACTTGGGTGTTCTCCTGGACGCACGGCTGTCCTTGGAAGGGACACCAGTTGCGTCCCTTTCTGGACTGGGATGCCCAGCGCACAGTCACTCATGCCCTTGTCCCGTCCTGTCTGGACTACTGCAACGCTCTCTACATGGGGCTCCCCTTGAAGAGCACTCGGAGGCTCCAGCTGGTCCAGAATGCGGCCGTGCGGGTGGTTATGGGGGCGACCCGGCGCTCCCATGTAACACCCCTCCTGCGTAAGATGCACTGGCTCCCGGTGGTCTTCCGAGTGCGATTCAAGGTGTTGGTGACCACCTTTAAAGCGCTCCATGGCTTAGGACCGGGGTATATACGAGACCGCCTTCTGCCACCAACAGCCTCCCACCACCCAATACGCTCCCACAGAGGGGCTCCTCAGGGTGCCGTCGGCTAAACAATGTCGACTGGCAACACCCAGGGGGAGAGCCTTCTCTGCGGGGGCACCAGCCCTCTGGAATGAGCTCCCCCTAGAGCTTCGTCTTAGCCCCGACCTGCGTACCTTTTGTCGCGCCGTGATGACCCTTCTGTTCCAGCAAACCGGATTGGCCTAATACGAATTTTATAAGGGGTGTATGTATGTTTTAATTTTTGTGCCAAATTTTATATATTTGATTTTAATTGGTTTTAAATTTTGTAAATCTATGTGTTTTAATATGGCTGTACACCTCCCTGAGTCCTTTGGGAGAAGGGCAGTATAGAAGTCTAATTATAAATAAAATAAAATAAAATAAAATAAAATAAAATAAAATAAAATAAAATAAAATAATAAAATAATAAAATAAAATAAAATAAAATAAAATAAAATAATAAAATAAAATAAAATAAAATAAAATAAAATAAAATAATAAAATAAAATAATAAAATAAAATAAAATAATAAAATAAATAAATCTCACAGCGCTGACTCTGTTCTCCCAATATTATTAGGTAAAATTCCCCAGATTAGATTGGTTTGGAGGCAGTCATGGAGGAAGGTGGGCTCTGGGGGAAAGAAAAATGGCTATTGGCCTCGGGAAGAGCCTCTGTGAACAGAGAGCATCTACCTCACAATGGCTGGGAAGGCAGTGATGGTGGCAACAACAGGTGCTGCTCTACTGATTCCTTCCCTTGTGGCTCTCCAGCCAGTGAGCGGTGCCACTCCAACAGAGAATACTCAATCAGGGTTATAACCAGAAGCCAGCATGGGTTTGTCAAAAACATATCATGCCAAACAAATCTTATTTCATTCTTTGACAAAATAGTGGACCAGCAAAATGCTGTGGACATAGTATACTTGGACTTCAGTAAGGCTAACTTACTTATTGGTAAATTAGAAAAATGTGGCATAGACAGCATCACCACCAGATGGATTTGTAACTGGCTGACAAACTATTCAATGAGTAGTCCTTAACGGTACTACATCTACATGGAGGGAAGTAAGAATACCACAAGGTTCCATCTTAGGCTCAGTACTGTTCATAAACTATTTAGATTTATTTATTTATTTATTTATTCAATTTATATACCGCCCTTCTCCTAGTGGACTCAGTTCTGGCACAGCCAGAACTAAATACATAACAATACAAAATTTAAAATTAATTAAAAGAATTATATACTTTGGCCCGAATTAAAACAATGTGAATTAAAACCCATTAACAGATTAAAACTAAACAATTAAAAACTAAAACTAAAAAAGGGAATAGAAGGGGAACTCATCAAATTTGCAGATGACACTAAGCTGGCAGGAATAGCCAATACACCAGACAATCAGCTCAAGAAGGATCTTGGCAGACTTGAACACTGGGCCGTATCTAACAAAATGAAATTCAATGTAGAGAAAAGTTAAGATTTTATACTTAGGCAAGAAAAATCAAATGTCCAGATACAGATTGGATGAAACCTGGCTCAATAGCAGGAACTGCGAGAAGGATCTTGGCCTCCAGCAATGTGCTGCAGCTGACAAAAAAGCCAATACAATCCTAGGCGGTATTAACAGAGGGATAGAAATGAAGCGTTAATACCACTTTATTATGTCTTGGTAATATTGCATCCATTTTTGATGACCACAATATAAAAAAGATGTCATTCTGGAAAGAGTGCAGAGAAAGCAACAAAAATATTTAGGGGACTCGAAGCTAAAATATATGAAGAACAGTTGCAGGAATTGGGTATGTCTAAACTACTGAAAAGAAGGACTGGGGGGGGGGAGGGTAATATGATAGCAGTGTTCCAATATCTAAAGAGCTATCATAAGGAAAAGGGGATGAATCTATTCTCCAAAGCACCAGAAGATAGGACAAGAAGCAACGGACAGGAAGTCATCAAAGAGAGAGCTAACCTAGAACTAAGGAGAAACTTCCTGACATTGAGAACAATTAATCAATGGAACGGCTTGCATTCAGAAGTTGTGAATGCTCTAACACTGGAGGTTTTTAAGAAGAATTTGGACAACAGTTTGTCTGAAATGATATAGGGCTTCCTGCTTGAGTAGGGGGTTTACTAGAAGACCTCCAAGGTCCCTTCCAACTCTGTTCTGTTATTCTGTTTCTCTTGGGCCACAGGCTTCCTGGAGAAGAGCCCTGCCAAGCGGAGGCCAGGCAGTATCGCATCTGTGAGCAGAAAGTAAGTACCTTCCTCTCCCCTGCTGAGCCCATCTTGATAGGGGGCAGGTGGGCTTAACCATGAGGCTAGAAGCCTCTTGCAGACATCAGTCGGGGGTGGGGGGCAAGGAAAAAGGCACTTGGGGGTCCTGGTTTGACCACTTTGATTTTATCTGGTTTTTAAATTTTTTGTATCTATGTATTTTATTGTTTGGCTGTTCACCGCCCTGAGTCCTTCGGGAGTAGGGCGGTATACAAATCAAATAAACTAAACTAAACTAAACCACAGTCCTTGGATGCTCAAGGAAACCTTTGCTGGCATGGCCTGGGAGGAAATCCAACAGTTCCGTGGCCCCTGCGTGGCCTTTGTGGCATAAGTGCACACTCAAATTATGGAGAGATAGATCAGCTGAATGCTGCCCAGACTCCCTCCTTATAAATGGGGAATCCCTCCAGATTATTATGGGTCTAGAATTTTTTTCCTTTTTACAACCCTGTAATCTCTTAATTTTGGGTAGAGTTGGCATGACAAAATGAATGGAGCTGAGATTTACTGGTCGCATGCCCTTCCTGATGCCCACACAGACCTCTCAGCAGATACTTTCTCTTTGCGAGAAATATCTGCCACTACCTAGGATTGAACTCAACCTTCTGAGTGGGAGGTGAGCATCTTCACCACTAGGCCACCATATCGCTCAGAATGGGTCCAGAATGCAGGGATGAATTTCTTCCCAAAGTTTCTGGTAGGCACAAAGAGCACTGGGGCCTTGCTTTGGATTTGTGCTTACATTCAAGATGCATAGTTAACATCCAGCCTTGTATTCTAGGGCTTTTGTTTAAAAACATATCAGAGTTAACAGAACAATAAGAGTTGGAAGGAACCTTGGAGGTCTTCTAGTCCAACCCCCTGCCCGAGCAGGAGACCCTATACCCGTGATGGTGAACCTATGGAACGCGTGTCACAGGTGGCATGCGGAGCCATATTAGTGGGCACGCTAGCTCAGCTCTGGGCACATGCGTGTGCCGGCCAGCTGATTTTCGGGCCTTCTGGGCCCACCAGAAGTAGGGAAACAGGGCCTGGGGGTGTGAGGAAGGCCCGTTTTTCTTTCTTACATGGCTCCAGATCTTCTCTATTTATCTGGGAAGGGCGAAAACAGCCTTTCCCACTCCCTTGGAGGCCCTACGTAGGCTGAAAGGGCCCATTTCCTGATTCCCAGTGGGACAGCAAAAAATGTCACTTCCTGTCCCACCGGGAGTTGGGAAATGGGCCATTTCAGGCCTTTGGAGAGCCTCCGTGAGAGAGAGAGAGAGAGAGAGGGAGGGAGAGAGAGGGAGAGAGGGAGAGAAAAAGGCTGTTTTCACCCTTCCCAGATAAATAGGATCTGGAACCAGGTAAGAAAGAAAAACGGGCCTACCAGGCCATCATGTGCCAGGAGTGGGGGGGGGTGTTGCGCGCACATGCATGTGGTCATGTGTGTGCATGACCCTCCCCTGCCCCCCCTCCTGGCACGCGATGGCAAAAAGGTTAGCCATCACTGCCCTATACCAGTTCAGACAGTGGCTGTCCAAGTCTCTTCTTAAAAGCTTCCAGTGATGGAGCAACCAAAATCTCTGAATGAAAGCCATTCCATCGAGAGGCTGCTCCCACAGTTAGTAATCAACATATTTGATAGGTTGACGTGTGAAGCTTGTTGTTGATTTTATTGTTTATTGCTTAACACCCATTCATTTGCAGTAACAATGGTACTGAAAAAAGCAATGAATCAGTTCTTACACTTACGACCATTGCAACGTCCCCACAGTCAATGTGATTATGATTTGGGAGTTTGGCAGCTGGTGCCCATTTACCACAATCAGGGCATCCTGCAGCCACATGGTCCACATCTGTGGCACTCCCAAAGTCAAGAGGGAAGGCAGCGGCAAGTTTCACTTGCCTGATGTTTAACTATCATGGGTGATTCCCTTAATAACGCCATAGCAAAAAAAAGCTCATAAGATCAGGTGCTTAATGACAGCACCATTTAAAGATGATTTTTTTCAGTCCCTATTGGGGTCAGAAATCAAGGATGATCTAAAGTGGTAGAGGCCCTGATGGTATTTATGAACCTTATGTGGTGCTTTTGAAGTTTTACTACATTTTATTACAATTTTATTACTCTGTGATTCTGGATTAGAGTGTTGGTGTTCTTGTTTGGTATTGTTGGCTTTTATGAGTTGCCTTGTCTGGGACATGTCATTTATAGAGTGAATGAATGAATGAATGAATGAATGAATGAATGAATGAATGAATGGGAAGTCAACCTGGATGTGTCTTTTCTTTCCATCCTGCAGTCGTGGTCTAACGGTGGTTGTCTCCCTTCCTCCCCCCTCCCTCTCTCTCACAGGCCTGCCCAGCTGGCACTGTCCCCTTCAGGGCTATGCAGTGCGCTCTCTACAACAGCAGGCCCATCCTAGGGGGGCAGGCCCAGTACCAGTGGGTCCCCTTCCATGGAGGTGAGAGCATCAGTGGGGGCAGTCAGGCCCTCAAGGTCACTGGGGGAGGTGGGGGACTTGGCCATGGGTTTCTTTCCGGCTTCACTTTGGGGAGCCCAGTGCTGGGCCTGCCCTGGAGTTGATTGTGAGAACCAGCTTTCTCCAGCTGCAGAGTCAAGGCAAGGGCCATCCTGAGGGGAGGGAGCTTCATGGCTTGGAGTCCTACGCCGGGGGGGGGGGGGTCCTAAAAACCCCCCCCCTACCCTTATAAACAATGACTGGCAGGCAGGAACACTTCCCCTTTTTCAAGAAAAATACCTCAGTGCATCATTGAGACTAAAAGGTGTTACCATTCCACCGGAAGAGATTTCCTTCGGTCCCCATGAAGAGCGTGATTGGGGACTTTCCTCAGAGTGGAAACCCCGGGACAAGGCAGAGTGGAGACAGATTGACAGCCAGAGAATTGAGCAGGAGTTAAACTTTCTGCTCTTGCAAATGGCCACCGAGCTTCATCATTGTGGGTTTTGTGACTTATTTGTGTGGTTTTTGACACTGGATCCAGTTCACATCCTATACAGCTTAGGATAAGATATCTGCTAGAGTGGCTTTTCCTGTAAGATCCAGTAAAGTGACATCAGTTGATGGAGCCCCAGAGCCTTGTGAAGCTGGGGAAGGCGTGGTAGAACCCACCACCACCACCACCACCACTTTCTGCACTCAGACCTTGGAAGGTCCTTTTTGAAAAGCTACATTCTGGGAAACAGAGAAGACTGGGGAGAGTCTTTTGCCTTCTGTATGATTCATCCTATGCTCTGATCGCAAACCAGATATGGGACTCAATTGACTGGGACAAGCATGGAGAGTCAAAGTGACATCCAAATAACAGAGCAGCTCAGCAGGGTTACAAACCCCATCAGAGCTATTGTGAGAATGGGCGCAAGTAATGTAGCAGAGCATTAATGGAGCCAAGACAGAACTGAAGTCCCGAAGTGGTCCCAGAAATCAGGGCTCTGTCGGGAACTCTAGATCTGTGTGTGTTGTATGCTTTACATACACACACAACCCTACAATTGCCTGGATGGGAATTTCCTGAAAGGGGAGAAAGTGCTTTTAAACATTTCCGAGGGGAAAGTGAGCCAGGATCCCTGACTGTGGCTGTCCAGGGCCGGAGGCAAGTCAGCTGCATGGGGGGGGGAGAACGCACACCCCCTGGAGCAAAGGTAGCGAGAGGGACTTAAAAACTTCAACCCTGGTCCAGCACTGTGTGACCTTTAGGCCAGTAGTGAAATCCAATTTTTTTTACTACTGGTTCTGTGGGCATGGCTTGGTGGGTGTGGCAGCAGAAGGATACTGCAAAATCTCCATTCCCACCCCACTCTTGGGAGAAGGATATTGCAAAATCTCCATTCCCACCCCACTCTGGGGCCAGCCAGCGGTGGCATTTGCCGGTTCTCTGAACTGCTCAAAATTTCTGCTACCGGTTCTCCAGAACTTGTCAGAACCTGCTGGATTTCACCCCTGCTTCAGTCCAAACACACACCCCCACAATCAAATGGATGGGGCATTTTTTGTGCCACTGCCTGGCTCTCATGCCTCCTTTGCTCTCCCCCAGCTGCCAACCTCTGTGACCTTAACTGCCTGGCAATGGGGCACAATTTTTACTACAGCTTTGGCCGAGTCTTGGACGGAACCCCCTGCAGCCCAGCATCGCCGGAACTCTGCATCAGCGGCCGCTGCTTGGTGAGTCAGTCAGCATCGGCTGTGACAGGTTGTGTCTGTGTGAGGGAGGAAAAGATGCGATGGAAGCACCAGAGAATTTCCCAGGAAGCACATTGCAGGGGGAGGGGCGAGACAAGCAGCAGCCCAGCCTGGAGCTGGATGGGGGCAGAGGAAGAGATTTAGGAGTCCCCTTCCCAGAAACTCCCAGGGCATATCAGTTTGGGTGGGGGCAGTAAAGGTTATTCCAGCAAGATTCGGGCTGTTTGGTGTGAGTAAATAAAGAACTAACTTTGGCTGGATTGTTCAATCCGGGGCTGGGCCTGGACCTCCACGCTTTTGGCCAGTGGAAGGACAGGTGGCCAAGATCCTCCCATTCGCCAGCATTGGGTTGTCGCCCTCATTCTCCAAGCACAGCAAGACAAAAACACAAAACTCCACACAAACTGAGGCGCTGCAGCGACAGCAGCCTCATTGTTGACTGGGTGACTAAAGGAAAGTCACAGGTGTCCTCATTTTCTAGAGGAGCAGAGCTGGGGAGGAAGAGCAGCCCATCCGCAAAAGCAGCACTTGCCCTTATGGGGGGGGAGGGGATAAATGCTTTTTCTGGGGAGGGTTTCCCTGCCCCATCCCAAGACGTCCCTGAGCAGCAGCTCTAGCAGGAAAGGGGAATGTAGGGCAGCCTTACCGTGGGCTTTCTCCATTTCCCCCATAACAAGTGGGGGCTCTTCCAGGCACCTCTAATTGCCACCCTTTGTCCGATCCCTCAGAGAGCCGGCTGTGATGGAGTCCTGGGCTCCGAGGCACGGGCCGATGCCTGTGGCGTCTGTGGGGGCAGGAACGAGTCCTGCGTCTTCGTCCAGGAAGCCTTCCGGGTGGCGGTTCCCACCTCTGGTGATTGAATGTGCTGACGTGGGTGAAGCTTTGGCTTTTGGCATTCGTCAACCCAGCCCCTTGCCTCTCCCCTCTTCCCTCCCCCTCCTCCCTTCCTCCTCTGCTGCTGCTCTGCTGGCTGGCCGGGGCTGTCCTGAAGGCGGGTTTTGCCCATCTGACACGCAGGGTGAGGCCTGGTGCCCTCTAGGAGCCCCACCTCCAGGCTTGCGGGCAGAGCACCTGGCGCTCTCCTCCTAATAAGCTGAAGCCTTTTGTGATGGGCAGCAGGGCACCCTGCAGCTTTGCAGCTTCTTCCTGCCCAGGGAGGGGGCACCGAACACTCCTGAACAGGCACCAGAGTCTCAGCATTCTTGGCACGCGAGAGTAACACAAACATACTCCTAAGCAACAGGCAGATGCCCCTGGGCCAGCCTGGAGGCCAAAAGCAGGACGTTAACATTTAAGAATCGTGTGTGAAGATGGGAGAGGTGCCTTGTGAATCTGTGAAATTCACCGAAAGGACAAGTGTGGAATCCGTCTGAATGAAGCATATCCAGGCACACCCGTCCCATGGCATCACACCTAAGGACAACACACACACCACTGTGCAAATGACAGAGCTGCGGATGTCAAACTCAAGTTCTACCGTACCTGTGTTGTCATTGTGCCCTCTGGTCCCATCCCACCTCCTGCACACTTCACATCCAATGTCACAGACTGGAGCTGACAAGCACATACCGGGAAATAGTGTGTACCAAACTGGGAGGGGGTGGGTGTGCAGCTGAAAGTGAGGCTCCCGGTTGGCAATGCAAAGATGCTTCAGTGAACTCTGACACGGAGAGAACGGGGGTGCAATTTGGAAACTGAAGGAAGCCGGGGGGGGGGGGGGGGGGGCTTTTTTTTGTGGGGGGGGGGGGGGGGGGGGGGAGGGTCCTTGCTTTCTTAGGTGAAGGAGGTGGGGGAGGAAGGAGGCAGGAAGTGCAGAAAACGTTGACTGGGCCTCTTGAGCACAACAGTTTTCAGGCAGGCGAACTGCATGTCGGCACACCTGGCAAAGGACTGGCCCTAAATCTAAGAGCAAGTTTGATGAGGGGATTCAGGCTGAATTCTGGAGAGCGGATTCCAGGGCCGTGAGGAGGCAGGCTTCCTTCGTGGCCTTGAGGGGAGGAGAAAGGAAAGAGGGTGAAGAAAGAGACAGGCCAGCCTTCGGTTAATCTTCCAGCAGAAAGAGATAGAAAATGGGCCCTTCCTCGGAGCTGCATTGCATGGGCACTCCTCCAGTCCTTGAATTGGCATGGAGACCCTGGCATGGCCTGGGGGAGGGGGGCTCCTCAAAAAAGTCAGGCATTTTCATGTCACCAGTCCTGGCATGTGTGAGGATGGGTCTTAGAAGTGGCTGGAATGACAACTGGAAGTCAAAAAAAGACCGGGGGAGGGGAGGGTGCCATCAGGAAAACCTGAAAGAAAACTAGAAGCCGGGGACATATGATGGGCAGGAAGAGCGTGACCATCTTTTGAGGGCAAGAACTGATGGTCAATAAGAAGCTGAAAGACTGAGAAGTTCAGAGAAGGCGGAGGGAGGAAGGGGAGGGGAGGGGAGGGGAGGGGAGGGAGCTGCTCGGCCATCCAGAAACAGTGCCAAAGCCTCTGGTGTGCAAGCACCATCAAGGGCTTCTTCTTTGCTCTCTCAGTGCAGAGGACAGGAGGGGCCCAATAGTGGCCATGGAGGCCCCCATCCTCTGAAATGGGGTGGGGAGCAGTTGCAAAGGCCAGGGTGGCCACTTCTCCAGCAGCCCTGGGAAGCCACCCAGGGCACCCCCCAGCACAGGTCCCACTTTCCTTGGGCCCCCACTCCTCGGATCTCCCTCGCCTCTGCCTCTCTCTGACTGGCTCCCCTCTGACTCTTCTGAACAGGTTTCTTTGGGTACAGGAACGTGACCCAGATCTCAGCCGGAGCCAGACAGATCAGGGTGATTGACAACAGCCGCAACTATCTCGGTAGGTCCGTCCTGCCCTTCCTCACTGGCTGCAGCTCAGATCAGCCACAGCGCTTCCTCCTCCGGCCTCTCTCCCCGCAGCCATGGTGGGGGTGGGGGGAATCCCAACAGGCAGCCTTGGAGGCAGAGGGTCAGCCGGAGGTTAAGGATGGGCAGAGAGGGGGAAAGGGGCAATGGGCATCCAATCCTGGTAGGCCCTTGTTTTGCCCAATTCCATGATGGGGATGCAAAGCCTGAAGCCCCAGCCCCTGGGTGCCACCCTGCCACCCCAAGTTAAGGCTCAGCATGCTAATCAAACAAGCTGCAGCAATGGACTTAATAGCCTTAGGCGAGGACACCGCTTGAATTCAGCTGGTGCCAGCGTTCCACCCCAGAGAAGTTATTCACTCTTTTCCTGGGAGTGAGTGCAGGAGGGCTTCTGGCTCAGAAGGCTCCAAAGGAGAGAACAAAATGCCACCTCCACATTCAGCAGGAGCCTGCTTGTGGGCACCTCAGTCCCAGTGAAGGGCAGCACGTGCTGCCTCCCTCTCCTGGTCAGATCTTGGGGAGCCTTCCCCTCATCAGAGGGCACTGCGGTTGAAGGTGCTGTCCTCCCCCCCAGGCTCCCTGAAAAAACATAGAATAATAGAGTTGGAAGGGACCTTCAAGGTCATCTAGAACAACCCCCTGCTTGAGCAGGAGACCCTGTACCATTTCAGACAAATGATTGTCCAGTGGAGAAATGATTGTCCAAAGCAGAGGGGTGGTGCCTCTTCTGTCACAGCCTTCTGCAACCCCCTACCCCCCAAATTGGTTCCTGCTTTGGGGCCTTTTCATTCCTGTGCATCACAGAGTAAGAAAATGGTGAGCCAAAGTCGCTCTGAGACATTCCCCACATCTAGGAGCTCAGCACGCTTCCATTCTCCCCTTAGCCTTCTGCCCCATGCTGGACACGCGGACGTGGCCATGGCCGTTTCCAAAAGGGCCTTTGCTCTGACGAAAGAGCCAGCAGGGATCAAGTTGAGCCACAAAGAGCAGCTGCAGTGGGGCCGCAGCCTTGACATTTTCGGCTGGCCAGGGTCTGTGTGTTGTGCCAGTCCAGCCCTTGGCACAGCAGCCCAGATGGCTGCTTCTCAAAGCAACAAGACTTCCAAACTAAAGCCCTCACCCTCCCCACCTACCTAGCTCTGCCACTCTCTCTCTCCAGAGCCCCCCATCCACCCCCAACCCTTCCTGTGCTCTGTCCCTCTGCAGCCCTGATGAAAGCAAACCAGCATTATGTCCTCAACGGGGAGTGGGCCGTGGATCAGCCAGGTGCATTTGAGGCAGCAGGCACCCAGTGGCATTACACTCGCACGGCTAACGGGCATGAGACCCTTGAGGCAGCCGGACCCACAAGCGACGATCTATTTGTCATGGTGAGAAGGGACCCCCTAGCAAAAAAGGAAATTGGAAAATCACTGTTTTTAGCCCCTTCAAAGGAGGCCACCTCTGGACATTAAATGCTGGGTGGGAGGGACAGACCACCCAATGATCCGTGGCCTTACCCTAGAGACACGGGAAAAACACACAGAAACTGTGTCTTTGGCTTTTGCTGGTTCTCTAAACGGGTATGCAAGGAAGAAAATGGCATGGGCCCAGGAGCAGTTTTGCAACCACAGGCAGCTGGAGGTGGGGGGTGCAAGTATGCCTGGGCCCCAGCTAACACCCCGACCCTGCCCCCATTGCCAGGTCCTTTGTCAGGAGGAGGACCTCAGCATAGACTACCAGTACTGGGGGCCAAGGAAGCAGACCCTCCACCGTGCGCAGGGGGAGGCCCATGCTCTGCGCCAGCCCCAGGCCAGGGAGGTAGAGGCCCAGCACCCAGAAGAGCCTGCAGACTTTCCTGAAGCTACAGCAGCGACGCGCCATTTCGCCAAGGCCGAGGAGGTGGCCAAGGAGGCACCGCAGGTCACCCCAGCACCCTTGAGGACTCCTACAGCACCAGGTAGCACTGGGGCAGGCGCGGGGGGGGGGGGAGCCCCCAATTATCCAGACCATCCATTTCTGCTTCTCTGGCAGATGTAGGAAGAGAAGCGATGGGCACAACAGATTCCTGGGTGGAACAGCTGGCCCTGTGCCCCCACTGTGGCCACAAAGGCCCACAGATGTACAGTAGCATCCTCTAGCTCAGTGATGCCACCCCAACTTCCCAAATGCTACTTTATTCTTTGTTAATGCAGCTCATAAGAAACAGAACTGGTGGTCCATTGGACTGCCCCCCGAGAGGTCAGGCTTTTCTTTGGGGGGGGGGGTTGGGCCACACTGCCACGTGCTCTTGTGGGAGGGTGTCCTTAGGGATGCTCATGAGTTGGCAGGCAGATAGCCCTGTGAAGGGGAGAAGCCTTAGCTAGCAAGCTGACTCAGAGAGAGAGAGAAAGGGGCCTTGAGGTCATCTACTCCCACCCTGCTCAAACAAGCCCTCCACTCAAGTCCATCCAGCGAAGGGAAGTCTGTCGCATCTTCCATGATCAAACGGTTCCTACCATTAGGAGGCTTGTCCTAAGTTGGGTCAGAAATGGCCTTCCTGTAACTTAAATGCCCGTTGTGCACTTTGGGCTGGGGAAGAATGTGACCCACACCGAGAACCTCCGTGCCGAGGGAGCTCAAGAGAGCCATCTTCCTCCTTCCCTTCTCAAGGCAAAGCATCCCCCAGCTCCTTCAATCTCCCTACCCGGCTAGGCTTCCCCGTCCCCGCCCCTCTCTAAACAGGTTCCAGCTTCTCTAAATTCTCCTTAAGGGAGGGAGGGGGTGCCGGTACCCAGACCAGGAATCAGGGCTCAAGGGAGGCAGGCTTTGATCCCTCCAGCCAGAGCAGTCCACAACTGCCTTCGCCTTTTGCTGGCACCTTTCCAGTTTACCATCCACTCAATTTTGGGCAAGCTGCATTTTGGATAGAAAATTCAGGTTTCCTTTCTGCTTGCTTGCTTTTAGACTGTCTCCCCCACGCGCCCCTCCAGGGAGCAGATGCTCCACCTCTCCAGTTCTTTTCCAACAGCTGAGCTGGAGTTCCATTTAACGTTTGAAATTGATTTCACATTTCCTTGCCAGTAACACCCTGGAATGAACAGACTCTGCTCTGGATTCTTTCTCTTTCAATCCTGAATTTGTGCAGAGAGTTCACTGACTTGCAGATAATTTGTACAGCCAGAAAGGATCAAGAAACATCATATTCCATTTCAGCCATCAGTGGGAATCCTTTGTTCTTCATTTAAAATGGCCAGCAACTTTAGCTCTGTCAGGTTTTTTTTAAAAAGGGTAGCAGTAGCTTGTCTGCTTTCTTCCAGACACTCAAGGGCCATTTGAGTGTTGCCTTTCCGTTCCCGCTGGGAGCCACTTCCAGGTCACTGAGCCTTCAGATCAGCAGCATTGGGGAATGGGCTCTTTCCTCACAGAGTTTAAGGGTGAAAGTCACCCTTCATCCAGACCAATCCCCTGCCCAGTTTAGGAGGGCTCCCCTACAGCAGGGGTCACCAACCTTTCGGACCTCAGAGACCACTAAATTCATAATTTTAAATCCCGCGGAACACTACCAGTAATATGATCTGCCTAATGACTGGCTGGCTGGGTGTGGCTAGGTGGTCATGTGACTGGGTGGGTGTGGCCAACTCCTCGTCTCCCCGCGCCCAGGCTCCTTAGGACCCCAACAGGAAGCAGTTGTTGGAGCTAAGCAGCCACCACGAGAAAGAGTTGGCAAAACAGCTGGCTCAGTTCAAATTGGATCTGGCCGAGAAAGAGGCTCAGCAGAAGCACCTCACTGAGGACTATGAGCATAGGCTTTACAAGCAGAGGGAAGACCTGTGGTAGTGCAAGGCCAGGTAGCGGTGCCTGGAAGCTCAGCGGGCTGAGATGGTCAGCCAGTTCCAGGCCATGATGCAGTCCCACTGGAACAAGGCCCTCCGGCTCTTCGCCACCAGCAGGGCTTCCCTCCAGCCTTCACCCAAAGCCCCGCACCAGGAAGCAGAAGCAGATCCGAGTCAGAATTTCTGCCCCCCTCCGACCCGCACAAAAAGACCCCGAAGGGGGAAACTCTCTGCAGCAGGGGTGAAATCTAAAATTTTTTGCTACCGGTTCTGTGGGCGTGGCTTAATCAGTGGGCGGGGCTTGGTGGTAAGGTGACTGGGTGGGCGTGGCCAAGTCAATGTCACTTCTTTGCCCTTTTTTAACCTACAAAACACAACACAACACAACTGGCTCACCCACAATGTAAAAGCAGCTGTGCTAGACCCAAAATGGCCCCTGCAACAACCAGGAACCAGACACAGCCACAAAAAGCCCAAAAAACCAACTTTCACACTTTACACACACAAAATTCCACATACAGCTTTGTGAGATTTTGTGTGTTTGTGTAGTTAGAGTGAAACACTACAGAAACACACTAAATCTCAGAAAGCTGCACAAATATTTTATTTTCATTTTCATTTTTTATTTTTATATAAAAGCAGCTGAATTTAAAACTTCCTAAACTTTAAATGGCTAGGTCTAAAAAAAGAACAACTAAAAACAACCCCAATTAACTATTTTTTTTAAAGCTCACAAAGGGGAAAAAAACTTACCCAATAGAACATAGGTCTCCAACCTTGGCAACTTTATAAGACTTGTGGACTTCAACTCCCAGAATTCCTCAGCCAGCTTTGCTGGGAGTTGAAGTCCAGAAGTCTTAAAGTTGCCAAGGTTGGAGACCCCTGCAATAGAAGGTATAAGGCAGGCAGGCAGGCAGATAGAGCTGCTCACCGATGAGCTTGATTGCAGGCAGGGAGATTCAGTTGCTTGCTGATGCAATGGATTGCAGGTATTTACAGCAAGCGAAGCAAGACAGGTGTTGTGACCAGCAGCTAAAGTAAGCAAGTTGGATGGGAGGGGGGAGGGATTTTTGCTACCGGTTAGCAGGCAACTCAGCTGGGATCATCAGAGCTTGGCTCGTCAGAGCCATTTAAAAGAAAAAAAGGCTCTGATGATTGCACGGCTCAGCTGGGCATGGGGGGCAGGGACAGGGATTTTTGCTACCGGATCTCCGAACTGCCTGCCTCCATCGCTACCTACTTGCCCAAGCCGGTCCGAACCGGGAGCACTTCACCCCTGCTCTGCAGCAACACAAACGTTCATTGCACATATCTGGTCCAGGGGCCGTACTTTGAGGACCCCTGATTTAGTGCAGTATAAAAAATGCAAATAATTTGTCTGTGAACCACCAAAATTTTCTCACGGACCACCAGTGGTCCACGGACCACCAGTTGGTGACCGCTTTTCTACAGCAGCCCAATAGGTGCCTCTTCAGCCTTTGTTTAAAGGAAGAGATGCCCTCCACACTCCACCCCACTTCCTGAGGCAGCTGGTCCCACTGGGAATGGCTCTGCTACCGTGTTTCCCCGAAACTAAGACCCCTCCAGATGATAAACCCAATCGGGCTTTTCAGCACATGCGATAAGCCCCCCTCCCCCCGCAAAATAAGCCCCCCACCAACTGCTTACATGCATGCACAGCCGATCCCGCCATTTCCTCTGGTTGCTTGCTGCACAAACAACACGATGTGAGGAGACAAGGCCAGAGAGGGGGGAAAGGGGGGGAATATGCCCCATGCACCCCACACACCCTTACCGTACCTACCAGTAATGCTGATGGCCGCCGCAAAAAGAGCGGCAGGCCAGCACCCCGCCTCACGCCCCACTTCTGTCCCTTGCTTAGCCACCCGCCCCCTTTAGGGATGCAATTTGGGAGTGGCAGGTGGGGCAGGGGAGAAGCAGGACGCGTGTCTTACCTTTCCAGCTCCGTTGCGTTCCTTGCCGTTGTGTCCAGGGCAACACATTGTAAAAGAAAACCCTCTCACGAGTTCAATCAAACTTCTTGAACATGCGAGAAGTTTTCTTTTACAAGGTGTTTCCTGGACACAAAGGCGAGGAATGCGACAGAGCTGGAAAGGTAAGACACGCATCTCATGGCCCAACACGTCCCACCCCACCCCAATGCCAACAGCCGTTATCGAGAGGGGTGGCAGGTGGGGCGGGGGAGAAGTGAGAAGTGTTTAGCAAGACGTGGCTCCTCTTGCCGTCTCTTCTCCCCCCCTCACTGGGCATGGCAGGGCTCCTGCCCCTTGCTTAGCCACCCACCCCCTTTAGGGATGTAATTTGGGGGTGGTAGGTGGGGTGGGCGAGAAGTGGGACGCACATCTTTCCTTTCTAGCTCCGTCGTGTTCCTCGCCGTTGTGTCCAGGGGAAACAGGTTGTAAAAGAAAACTTCTCACGAGTTCAAGAAGTTTGATTGAATGAGCAAGGTTTTTTTTACAATGGCACAACAAGCCTTGCAGAGTCCTGCTCTGTGAGGCAGCAGTGGTGGCGGGACATGTCAGGGCAGTTGCGGCCAGCCGCTCAGCCAGCACGAAGAACAGGGAGGGGAGGCGATGGCAGTGATGAGACATCCAGTCCCACACTCGCTGCCTCCTGCACTCCCAACATAAGACACCCCCCGCCCCCGATAATAAGTTCCAGCCTTTATTTTCAGGGAAAAACGGTATTAGAAAATTCTTCTTCATGTCCAAGGAGAACCTGCCTACACTGTGTGCACAATTATTAGGCAAGCTGTATTTTGGAGGATTAATTTTATTATTGAACAACTACAGTGCTCTTGGTCAATCCAAAATGTTAATAAATCTCAAACCTGAATATTTAAGAAAGTAAAAGTGAGGTTATGGCTTTCTTAGAAGAATATGTGTGCACAATTATTGGGCAACTATTAGTGTGCAGAATTATTATGCAACTAAATGAAAAATGAGAATTTTCCCATCTCACTCATTTATTTTCATTTGTTAAAGTGAGAATAATAAACAACTCAAAATTTACAAATAAACATTTCTGACAGTTTAAAAAAAAATCAATGACCAATATAGCCACCCTTCTTTTCAATAACAGTCCTAGGCCTTCCATTCATGGAGTCTTGTCTGTTTCTTGATCTCTTGATCAATTTTTCGTGCACCAGCAACCACAGCCTCCCAGACACAGTTCAGAGAGGTGTCCTGTTTTCCTTCATCATAAATCTCCCATTTAAGAAGGGCCCACAAGTTTTCAATCGGGTTTAGGTAAGGTGAGGAAGGGAGGCATGTCATTATTCTTTCATCATTAAGGCCTTTACTGGCTAGCCAGGCAGAAGAGTACTTTGATGCATGCGATGGAGCATAAAATCATGGTCTTCTTGAAAGATGCAGACTTTTTCCTGTACCACTTCAAGCAGTTTCTGTAGCAGCAACTGGCAGCAAGTTTGGGAGTTGACTTTGAGTCCATCTTCAACCCGAAAAGGTCCAATTAGCTCATCTTTCACAATACCAGCCCATGCCAGTACCCCTCCTTGCTGGCGTCTGAGTCGAAGTGGAGCTCTGTGCCCGTTACTGATCCAGACATGGGCCCATCCATCTTGTCTGTCAAGAGTCATTCTCATTCCATCAGTCCATAAAATCTTTGAAAAATCTGTCTTCAGATATTTCTTGGCCCAATCTTGCTGTTTCAACTTAGGTGTCTTGTTCAGGGGTGGTCAGATTTCAGCCTTCCTTACCTTGGCCATGTCTCTGGCCAAGCACTGAACAACTTGTACTTCGGGGCACTCCAGGTAGGTTGCAGTTCTGAAATATGACAGCACTGAAGGATAATGGGTTCCTGGTAGCTTCATGTTTGATTCTTCTCAAATCTTTGGCATTTAAGGTGTGTCTTTTTTTTCTAACACGTTTCTTGCACCTTGTTGACTATTTGCAACAAAATGTTTGATAGTTCTGTGATCACGCTCCAATATCTTAGCAATTTCAAGAGTGCTGCATCCTTCTGAAAGACTTTGTACAATTTTTGATTTTTCAGAGTCAGTTAAATCTTTTTTAGCCCATTTTTTATTTATTTTATTTATTTATTTATTGGTTGGATTTTATATGCCTGAGGAAAAGAAGCTGCTTAATTATGCACACCTTGATAGAGGGTGTTGATCTCCTTAGGCCACACCAGTGGTGGGTTGCCCGGCCACACCTTCCCTTATTATACAAATGCACATCACCTGATATGTTTATATCCGCTAAGCATTCAAGTTTATATAACTTGGAGGTGGAAAATATGCGTACAATATGGTCGAATTACTTACTTGCCTAATAATTGTGCGCACAGTGTATAATGGACACCCCAAAGGCCTCTCAGGGGCCTATTTGGCCCCCACAAGGAACAGCCCAACAGTCCCTTCCCCTTGCCAAAAGAGGCTCTGAAGTAGGGGGATTAGAGCCTGGTCATTGTCGCTTCCAGTCAGAATTGGGAGTTGATTTACCCATTGCATTTTCAGCAGCTCCTCACTAAAACAAGAGGACATCCAACAGGTGCAATTCCGCCAGGCCCTCACAGCTGGGACATCTGCAGTCAAGAAATCACAGATGTGTAGTGGAACTGCCCCCCCCCACCAGCTGGCATCATCAAAAAGGCATCCAGCCCCTGCAGGTGGGAGGGGTAGCAGCTTGACCAGAAACAACGGGTGGGCCGCCTAGGCCGTTGGAAAAGTATGCTCCCGCCCCGCCCCGCCCCTCCGCGTGCGCAATTTCCCCATGGGAAATTCCCTTAATCCAGAAGGAGACCCAAACCTCTCCTTACCAGCAGCAGTTCAGGCCGCTGCTAACCCAGCCCTAACCCTCCTCTCTCGCTCTCTCTTCTGACCTTGCAGGACCCTGTGGGAAGTGCGACCCGCCGAGAGGAAAGTCGCAACGCCTTCACCACTACTGCAACAGCGACTTCGGTAGGTAGTCTTCCCCCTTGCTGGGATGGGCTGATGGAGAGACCTGGGAGACCGGCTGCGCTGGGCCGAGCTTCTGCCGCGCCCCGCACAGAACTCAGGTCTCCCGTGGCGCCGGCTTCCTTACATCAGTCCGTCCATCATAGGCGCCATTCAAGCTGCACAGAAATCGGCTTGGATGGGCCGGGAAAACGCCCGCGCTCAAAGCGGCTCTCCGGCTGTGCCTCGTTCGCGCACCATAGGAGCCGCAGGCAGGCAGGCAGGCGGCCCGGGATTGCGGCAGGGGCGCGCGAGGAGGAACGCGCCGAGTCCGCATCCCGGGGCAGCCGGCTTCCGCGTCAGGAAGGCTGCCTTCACCCTCCTTCCCCCGCGGACAAGGGCGGGGGACGGGGTGCAGGGGGAACCGGGCGGCGGCGGCGGCGGCGACTCCTCTCACGGGCTGACCGGCGAGCGGGCGGGCTTCTTCCCGGCAGTCTTCCGAGCACGGATCCTCTCGAAGCGCTACGTCGGCTCCGAGACACGCTACGACGTGCAGGTGCAGCAGACGTACCGCAACCGCTACCCGCTGCGCTCGCGCGAGTACCTCTGGGTGCCCAACACCTGCGACTGCCCCCACCTGCTGGAGCGGCGCGAGTACCTGCTTATGACGCGGAATCACGTCAACTTCGAGCAGACCCTCAACCGGCTGCTGCTGCAGCGCGGCGGCTACGCCCGGCCCTGGTCGCCCCGCGAAGACCTGCTGCTACGCGACGCCGCCCTGCGTTGCCAGCCCGGCCCTCCCGCCTGAGAGCCTCCGCTCGCGGAAGGGAGCCGTGAAACCCCGCCACGGACGCCCAGTCCGCCCCGCCCGGCAGGAGAGCGCAGACGCCGGACTCGGCCGCCGGCTTGCTGGGCTTCTGAACCGCCCGGGGACGAATCCGACCGACCGTGCCGGCAAATCCCGCCGCCGCCGAGCCGCATCCAAGCTGGCCGAGTCCGAGCAAAAGGGGTCTGCTGGATCAGCCCCGTGATTGTCTCCCGGAAGAGCAGCCAAGCCCCAGGCGCCCAGTGGCCTCCGCAGTTTGGCTCCTTTGGCCGATGCTGCTACTGGGTGGACCGATGCTGCGTCCCGCTGCCCCGTGGGTAATCTTGCGCTGATCCCCTAGGTCTGAAGGAGAGGCCTGGCCCCGGACACCGACGGAAAGGAAGCGCTCCCACCCCGGCTAGCGATGGTAGTTTTTTTATTATGATTAAATAATAACATTGAAAGAAACCCCGCCCCCAATTTTTTATCCATTTTTCTTTGACTGAGAGGTCTTAAAATTTCATGCAATAACTCAAGATTATCCATGATCCGGGGTTCCACAAATGAACAGATTCCGTCATCTCTGCGCTTAAGATGTTACCTCCTTGCCTTAATAAGCCCTGAGTGGATGTCGTTGTGGATGTACAATTTGTCTGTTCTTCTCTTGCCAGCACCACATGACCCCGTTCTGTGTGGGGCTCAGGGATTTCTCCTATCACTATATAAGCCACCTGCAGTACCTTATTTTGCATACCATTTACATTCCAACTCAGTATCCTTAACTTTCAGATGGAAAGAATTTAAGTTTGAAATAAATGTATACATAAACCGTAAGTGATAAACCAGCTTAAATGTTTAATAGTAACATTTATAAATTCATAAATTTATGACACAAATAAATAGGTAATCAAACCAATGACTTAAAAAACATAAGCCTAAAACTGATGTTACCTTGTTGGATAATTGAAACATTTGCAAAAAAAAAAAAAAAAAAGTACAGAAAGCAACAAAAACCCTGAAGTTCAACTCTGAACTACAAATGTTACCTTGAATTTATAAGCCTAAAATTTAAAAAGACTAATAAAATTACAAATGAATTTGCAAAATCACTGATTCCTTGGAGAACAAGTTCAGGACCTCCACATCCCACCTGCTCGCACTTATAGCAAAGCGCGGCAGGGGGCAACGGAAGCCAACCAAGACATAAGGGAGGAAATCCAGCTGAAGGTTGTGTTTAGAGAAAGCACAGAAGAAACTCCGGCAACCACCAAGTATCGAAGCAGGAAAATCCTACAATTGTAGCAATGACATGCCCGGCTGTATCAATAGGTCAAACCAAGACCACAAGAGGCCCTTGTTTCAGCACGGGTCAGTCCTGTGCACCACATTTTAGAAAGGATATTGGAAATGGTGTGGGGGAAGGGTGTCTCCAGGGGAGAGCAAGCAAGGTGAGATGGGGCTCAAGGAGCAGCAGTTGGGCCGTGTTTAGCCTGTGGGATGCCCTGGGGTGGCTGAATGCAGGGACCGGCTTCGGGGGGGGGGGGGGGGGGGGGTGGAGGGCCTTCAGTTGGGGGTTCCTGTATTGACACCAGGAACAGCCCAGTGATCTCCAAGGTTGCTCCCACTCTACGGATCTGTGAAGGGAATCCCCCCTCATGTCTCGGGACCAATGTCGGCAGAACAGGAGGGCTCAGATGTACCCTCCATGGAGGCCAATCTCTGCCCTGGGGATCTCTTCAGAAGGGAGGCGGCAGCACCCCTGGCTATGCCTGGCACCCCCAGGTGTTGAACCTGCGTATAGAGGCCATTCCGTGGATTGGGAGGGGGCAGGGGAGCCATTGGCCCACTTCCTGGCACACCTCCTTGTAGGGGTCCAGAATCACCATGTTTGGGACTGCAGCGTTCCCCCGCCGCTCTGCCAGCAGATAGATGCGTCCGTTGGCCGAGCTGCATCCTTCAAAGAACTTCTGAGCCAGGCTGTTGTCCTCCATAGGGGTCCACTCATCGGTGCAGACATCGAAGCGGAAGGCCCCACCTCCGACGGTGTAGAGGGCCCCGTTCAAGGCTGCCACACAGAGGTCATACCTGAAGGGAAGAGAAACAGGGCAGGGTGGGATGGAGAGCACTGCTCTCTCGAGCTAGTTGGACCTACTGATGGAGCTCCCCTGCCCCACAAAGAGCTCCCTCCAGGGCCTGAGTTGCCAGCAGCTGAAGAGCTCAGTCCTATTGGGGTGCTCCACATCTGGCCGCCCATTGGGGTGGCCTTTCAAACAGTAGCTTCATCTATCTGAACTTGGCACGAGTAAGGAATCTTTCCCCAAAATGGCACATCTGATGAAGGATAGGAATGGCCTCAAACCCCCCTTTTGCCCTGACCTCTCCTCTTTGGCCATCTAATATCAAAAATGTCATAAAAAAAGCACAAGAAAGAACGTTCTTTGTGCGCCAACTCAGAAAGCTCAAACTGGCCAAAGAGCTGCTGATTCAATTCTACAGAGGAATTATTGAGTCTGCAATCTGCACCTCTATAACTGTCTGGTTTGGCTCTGCAACCAAGTAAGACACACAGACTTCAATGGATAATTAGAACTGCAGAAAAAATAATTGCTACCAACTTGCCTTCCATTGAGGATCTGTATACTGCATGAGTCAAAAAGAGGGCTAAGAAAATACCTACAGACCCCTCACATCCCGGACATAAATTGTTTCAACTTCTGCCCTCAAAATGACATTATAGGGCACTGCACACCAGAACAACTAGACACAAGGACAGTTTTTTCCCGAATGCCATCACTCTGCTAAACAACTAATTCCCACAACACTGTCAAACTATTTACTAAGACTGTATTACTATTATTCTTCTCTTCCTTACTAGTATCTACCTTCTCTGTCTTATATAACCATGTTGCTTGTATTTTTACGATTTATATTGTTCTGTTTCCTAGTATGATTTGATTGCTTATTAGTAACCTATGACTATCACTAAGTGTTGTATCTTATGATTCTTGATTAATGTATTTTTTCCTCTTTTTTTCTTTTTTCTTCCTTTTATGTACACTGAGAGCATGTGCACCAAAGTCAAATTCCTTGTGTGTCCAATCACACTTGGCCAATAAAGAATTCTATTCTATTCTATTCTATTCTATTCTACAAGACGCCAGGGAACCTCTAAGTCCTCCATTCTCTGCAGCCCACCCTCCTCCCCCAAAAGACCCCAGGAAAGCCGGCTAAGCCTCACCTTGGCAGTGGTGAGAAAGAAACAACATCCCACATGTCCGTCTCTATGTCCAGCCGCTGAACTGCCTGGCAGACATCGCCATTCTCATCCATGCCACAGACCACGTAGATCCGCGTCCCCACACCGGTGGCTCCAGCTCGTTCGACAGGGTGGATCAGGGGACTGGTGGGCTTCCAGGAGGAGTCGGTCAGGGCGAGGCACTCAACGCTGGGGGTGATGCCCTCCGGGGTGCTCCCCCCCATTACATACAAATGGAAACCAACCCCGACTGCGCAGTGGCTGTCGCGAGCCTCCTTCATGGCTGGCCCCTCCAGCCAGCTGTCATCCCAGCTGTTATAGATCCACACCCAGTCCACAGGGGCCCAAAAAAACTCCTCTCGGAAGTTCCCTCCCGTGACGAAGAGCAGGTTGCCTGCAGAAAGAGCACAGGGAAAGGAGGCTCTGTGTCCGGAGGAGCACTTTGTTCCTGGTTGGGAAAAGGAAAGGCTTGGGTTGCTCCCTCCTGGCACAGAGAGGTGGCTCCCTTGCCCTCCCCAGAACCCTCAGCACCAACATGGCACTGGGCAGATTCATCCTGCTGAGCATCCTAAAGTGGGGCAGGCTGACTGCCACCCACCCACCGAGTGGGAGGAGCGGGAGCACTGCCTGGAGCCCAAGGTAAGCGCTGATGGCAGCTGTACCCAAGGACTGGTGTCTCAAGGTAGATTGCCTCAGAACAATCCGTTCCCTATTTGGCCATGACACCCAATAGCCTCCCAAAGGGCTCTGAACTCACTCACTCTGACAATTTATTTATTTTTATACCGCCCCCTCTCCCGAAGGACTCGGGGCGGTGAACAGCCAAGATTTAAAAACATACAATATAAACATTAAAATACATTTAAAACAAAATTAAATCCCTAATGGCTTTCCCCAATTTAAAACCCCTTACCCATAAAATTCACCAATAAAAATTTTTAAGCCAGCCTGGTTTGCCGAAATAGCAACGTTTTCAGAGCCCAGCGAAAGGTTCGGAGGTCTGGGATCAGTCATATCCCTGGGGGTAGCTCATTCCAGATGGCGGGTGCCCCCACAGAGAAGGCTCTTCCCCGGGGGGTCGCCAGTCGACATTGCCTGACCGACAGCACCCTGAGGAGACCCTCTCTGTGGGAGCGTATTGGCCGGTGGGAGGTTATCGGTGGCAGAAGGTGGTCTCGTAAATAACCGGGCCCTAAGCCATGGAGCGCTTTGAAGATGAGAACCAGTATCTTGAAGGGCACCTGGAAGACCACTGGAAGCCAATGCAGCTCGCGCAGGAGAGGTGTTACATGGGAGCGCCATGTCGCCTCCCATAAGTACCCACATGGCTGCATTCTGCACCAGTTGGAGCCTCCGGGTGCTCCTCAAGGGGAGCCCCATGTAGAGAGCATTGCAGTAGTCCAGGCGGGAAGTGACGAGGGCATGAGTGACCGTGCATAAGGAGTCCCGATCCAGAAAGGGGTGCAACTGGCGTATCAAGAGAACCTGATAGAAAGCCCCCTGGCCACAGCCGTCATATGCTCTTCTAAAGACAGCCGTGCGTCCAGGAGGACACCCAAGTTGGCACCAGCTGGCTATATCAGGACGCCGGCAACCACAGCCACTCAGTCTTGGAGGGGTTGAGTCGGAGCCTGTTCCTCCCCATCCAGACCCACACAGCCTCCAGGCACCGGGACATCACTTCAAAGGCATCGTTGGGGTGGTCTGGGGTGGAGATGTACAGCTGAGTGTCATCAGCGTACAGATGGCACTGCACCCCAAAACCACGGACGATCTCACCCAGCGGCTTCACATAAATGTTGAACAGGAGAGGCGAGAGGACCGACCCTTGCGGCACCCCACAAACCAGGTACCTTGAGGTCAACCTCTGCCCCCCAGCCAACACGGACTGCGACCTGTCGGAGAGATAGGAGAACCACCGTAAAACGGTGCCCCCACCCCTAACTCTTCCAACCGGTGCAGCATGATACCATGGTCGATGGTATCAAAAGCCGCTGAGAGGTCTAATAGGACCAGAACAGAGGAACAACCCCTGTCCCGAGCCCTCCAGAGATCATCAACCAACGCGACCAATGCCGTTTCCGTGCTGTACCCAGGCCTGAAGCCGGACTGGAACGGATCTAGATAGACGGTTTCATCCAGGTACTGCGGGAGCTGTCGCGCCACCACTCTCTCAACAACCTTCGCCAGAAAGCGAAGGTTGGAAACTGGACAATAGTTTGCCAAAACAGCTGGGTACAGAGAGGGCTTCTTGAGGAGGGGCCTCACCACCGCTTCTTTCAAGGCGGGAGACAAGAAACCCTCACTCAAGGAAGCGTTTATAATCCTCTGGAGCCAGCCTCGTGTAACCTCCTGGGTAGCCAGCACCAACCAGGAGGGACACGGGTCCAATAAACATGTGGTTGCGTTCAACCTCCCCAGCATCCTGTCCACGTCCTTGGGGGTCACAGGGTCAAACTCATCCCAGATAACATTCTCAAGACACACCTTGGACAACCCGCCTGAATCCACCCAGTCAGAGTCCAGAACTTCCTGAATTTGAGCGACTTTATTGTGCAGATAATGCGCAAAATCCTCAGCACGTCCTTGCAAGGGGTCTTCCCGCGCTCCCAAATGGAGGAGGGAGTGGGTCACCCTAAACAAGGCAGCTGGGCGATTATCTGCCGACGCAATAAGAGTGGAAAAGTAGTTACACTTCGCTGCTTTTATCACCACTAAGTTGTCTTGATATAAGACCTCACTAGTGTACGGTCAGATTTGGAACGACTAGCCTTCCAACTGCTCTCTAGGCGTCTTTTCCGGCGCTTCATCCCCCTCAGCTCTTCGGAGAACCAAGGAGCTGGGCAGATTCGGCGCCGGGTCAGAGGCCGCAAAGGCACAATCCGATCTAAAGCACCAGCGGCCGCTCTATTCCAGGCGGCCACCAGGTCTCCCGTCGAGTCGTGAGCCAGAGTCTCAGGAAATGGCCCAAGCTCCATTTGGAACCTATCAGGATCCATCAGGCGCCTGGGGCGGAACCACCTAGTCGGTTCCGCCTCCCTGCGGTGGGGTGTAGCGGTCAGGAAGTCAAGTCTAAGGAGAGAATGGTCTGACCATGACAAGGGTTCAATGACTATATCCCCTGTATCTAGGCCATTCAACCACTGACCAGAGACAAAAACCAGGTCCAGCGTGTTTCCTCCTGTGTGAGTGGGGCCCTGAATTAACTGGGTCAGGTCCATGGCCGTCATGGAAGCCATGAACTCCCAAGCCACCTCAGATGCTTCACCGATGGACGGCAGGTTGAAATCCCCCATGACTAAAAGCCTGGGGGTATCAACTGCCACCCCGGCTATAACGTTGAGGAGCTCAGGCAGGGTTGCTGCCACGCAGCAAGGAGCCAGGTATGCAACCAGCAGGCCCATCTTGCCTCCCATGGCCCCACTTCACAAGGAGAGACTCACAGCCGGCTATCTGAGGTACAGTGGCCTCCCTAGGATCAAGACCTTCCTTTACAATAACCGCCACCCTCCCACCCCTACCCTGGGCCCTCGGCTGATGAAATGCGCGGAAACCCGGTGGGCACATTTCTACGAGGGGGATCGCCCCCTTCCAGGCCCAACCAGGTCTCTGTAATACCCGCCAGGTCCACTCCCCCCTCCTAAATCAGCTCACAAATGAGGGGGGCTTTATTAACCACGGACCTGGCGTTGCACAACATCAGCCTAAGATTCAGGCTCTGAGGCTCTGAACAACCCAGGGAATGAGGAGAGCATTGGGAACCGGAGCACGTCACCACTTGGAGACAGTGGGTGCATGCCCCCACAACATGATATGGCCCCCTGCTCCCACCATACCTGCCCCTCCCACCCACGGTCCTGATGACATCGCCCTCTTCCCTACCAACACCAACCCCCTCCGATCCCTGCTCCACACCTCCCCTAATGCGACCCTGTGCCGGGCCTGGCCCCCTCCCCAACAAATCACCCTCCCTATCCTTTGCCAAACAGCCCTCCCCCCTCCCCAAACCCCTTAAAAGATTGGCAAATGACAATTTTAAAAAACCCCTCAACCCCCTCTTCGCCACATGCCACCTCTCGGGGTTCCAAAGCCCGTCATCGAGGTAGGCCCTCGATAAAGTGGAGGGCCAATCCTGCAAGAGGGGGGAGTCTCACAGAACAAGAAGCTCAGCTGCCGAATACATCTTGTCACAGGAGGATAAGTGACCATGTCCCAAGGGTCCCCCCCCCAATGAAAGGGACCCCCCCTGATTTCTCCAGGCCCCACCCTGGCCAGCCACATGGTGCTCAGAAGTGAGCGGGCTCCCTGCCACCCAGAAGCAGAGCAACTGTCCAGAGTGCATTCAGAAGACTCTCACCTGTGCACTTTCTAGCTTGCAGCCCATGCAGACTTGGAGCCAGGTTTGAATCCCGGCTCCCACTTCCTTCCAGTTCCTCCCTGGGCATTGGGAAGGGAGGCCAAAAAGCCCAGCAACCGCAAAGCGAGGAACCGGCCCCAGGGCAGAGAGCTGAAGAGCCTTTCCAATTACAATGTGCAGCTCTGGTGAAGGGGCTTCTAGAGTAGAGCAAGCCAGGAGCTGCTTTGGCAGTTCTTCTCCCCTCCCCTTGTTATGGGGCTGCAGCCCAGAGCCCACCCCCACCCTGAGGGAAGGAGCATTACCCACGGCAGCCACAGCATACTGGGTGAGGTTTTTGCGCTTGAGTGGCGAGCAGGCCTGCCAGGCTCCCGTCTTGGGCAGGAAGTGGAAGAGCTCCTGCTGCTCTTGGTCGCGTTTCCCGGCCATCACGAAGAGAGTCTCATAGCTCCGGCTTGCGCAGGGGGCCTGGGCAGCGTCCTGCCAGTTGGGAGGTGGGAAGCGGTCCAGCTCTTTCAGTAGCTGAGCCGGAGCATCCAGCCCAGGACGCTGGCTGCGCTTCACCAGGAGGCCAAGGAAGGGAAGGCTGAGGAAGGGGACCCGCATCAGCCCCACCAGCTCCAGGAAATCCTTGGCCCGCCCGGGCAGGTCGGCCAGTACCCACTGCATCACCGTGTCGAAGACCACATCCTCATGAGCCACAAAGAGCTCGTCGCTCTGCAGCAGCTCCATCAAAGTGGCCTTGGGCAGCTCCTCAACCTCGCCGTGGGTCACCACATCAGCCCAGTGGCTGAGGGCCACGTTGAAGGCAGCAGAGCCGAGTGCCGCACAGGCAAAGTGCTGTGCGTAGGCCCTGAGGCTGAGGCAGTTGGAAACATGCAGTTCCCTTTCCAGAAAGGTCTCACAGCGCCTCTTGGCAGCCTCCAGCTGCAGGAAGTCTGCTGTCTGCAGAAGGCTGGTGACATTGCCAGGGGTGATGCCAAGGCTGCCTGTCTGGGTAAAGTCCAGAAGTGCCTGGAAGGGCTCCGCCTCAATCCCCTGGATCCGAATGTGCCGCTCTACACACTCCCGGGTGCCGCCAAAGAACATGGCCTCAAAATAGCTGCTGTGGCGGGCCAGGGCCCACCGGTTGACTGGGAAGCACTTTCCCCCCACTTCCAGGACTGCATCACACTGAAGACTGGCCTGAATTGCCGCACACGGGGACGGATCCATGCTGGCTGGCTGGCTGGCTGGCTGACTCAAGAAGCCAAACCCAGAATAAAACGCCCTCCTGTCCTGTGACCTTGGCTCCCATTCAAACCATGGTGAAAAGCCAGCAGAGCAGTTGCTAGGCCCAATATAGACACAACTCCAATCCTAAAAATAGAGACCATCTTCCTTTACCCAGGGACCCATGTCCCAACCCCTCATCCCCACTTGCTGCTTGGTGGCAATCTCGTTTGCCTGTCCGCCTGGAGCAAGCACAACTGTTTTGATACAAGAGGAGGAACATTACCAAGCCTGGGGGTTAGAAATGGCAACACGAAACAACTAGTGGGGAGGCGGTTTGCTATCAGGATGAAGGTGCAGGCCGAGAAACCGTCAGTTCCAGTCCCATTTTAGGCATAAGCGCCGGCTGGATGACTTCTGCGCCATTCTTTCTCTGACAGCGCAACCCACTCCACCTCGCAGGGCTGTTATGGGGAAAAGCGGAAGAGGCAGGAGTATTAAGGATGTTTGCCACTTGAGTTGCTTAATACAACAGTAGGATGAAATGTTAATAACTGCTCAGCTGCCCAGTCTTTGATCCTTACCCAAACATTGCAGGAATGGCATTTCAAAAGACTTAACCCTAACGGGAATGATGGGCTGGACTGTGGCTGGGAGGCTCATCTCCCTTTGGAGAAACAAGTCGGCCATGGAGCAGATCAAACTGCCCCAAGAAGCATGTTTGACTGACTGGCATTTGTGTTATCTTCCTCTTTAACATCCTTATCTTTTGTGATTCAGCCTCCTAGGTGTTACAAGTTTGCCCTCTGTTATAAAATTCTTAAAATTAGGAATCTTTTATGTAGCATAGGAGCAGTCAGAGATCTTCATATCCTATAGGAGCCTACTGTGGGTTTTAAAGGCTTTATTTTAGCAATGCAAGCATCTCACTTTTACTCTCATTCAGACCGCACATTTTTCATGTTATTAGTCAGTGACAAAAGGTGGTAAGAAGCCCCCTTAGAGGGCCGAGATGAATCTCAATGGAAATTGGAAGATGAGATCTCAGATTTTTCTTCCCTCAGGCTTTTACTCAGCAAAGTCATCCATTTTAGTTATTGTCCATTAAGTAGTCTGCTTAGTCCTCAACATGTTCTTCATCATGACCATAATATGGTATTAAGTACAAAAATATTTACAGTAAAAAATTATCCCTCCACGAGTTGGCTTGGAAAATCTTGTATTTTGATATAAACAATTGTTATCAATACCTGCCAATTACTTTTCCAACAACTGCAGCCAGTGGGTATTTTTCTTTAAACACAGGTTTTCACCACAACCCTGTGACTGGCATACAAGCCCTTGCTTGAATGCAGCTTGCTCAGAGAGGCAAGAAGTTGGAAAAGGAAGATCAGCCATTACTTGTTTGGCCCAGGATGTAAATAGAATAATTACTTTCTTGCAGTGGATCAAATTCTAGCTCCACAAACAACACTGGATAGTTTGTTACCAAGCAAACAGATCCAGACCAGGTTCAAGATTCTATCCCAGGAATCATTTGTAAGAAAACAGCTGTTGTGCCTCAATCCCAGCGTACCCTTTAAATTGACACCATTTATAATTTTTTCTCAATGTGCTCTATCAGTGAGTTTTCACATTCTCCTACATTCAACTTATGAGAAGATTCAGGATGCGTTTTATTATTTGTCAAATAATAAACACTCCTCCTTCAGTGAGGAATGAAAAGGAAGATGAATGCTGACAAACTACACAAATTTTATCACCTTTTCTTTTATGACTAAATGTTCACCTGGCTGCTGTTCACTTGTCCTAGATGCCTTCCTGAGAAAACAACACAGAGTTAAGACGCAAAGATGAAGGCCCGAGGACACGGGACCAAACAGGGAGTGATCGCATCGTTTATCCAGAGATTAAAGGAACAGGAACCAACCAGAATAGTCTGCTGTATTTTACCAAACCTTCTAATGTGCTTTCAATCGTTTACAGCAGAAAGATGGTCCAAGCCTCTGTAGACAAAAGACATCACCTCGTGTAAGACTATTTCCTGGCCCACTCACAGTGTCACACAAAATAAGAAAAAATGTTATAAGGTCCTCCTCCTATACAAAAAGAGCATAAAAAAATAATTTCTCCTGCAAATGTGGCTTCTTTCCAGAAACTGCATTCCACTCCTCCCAAGGTTTGACCTACAGGCCGGCTAGCCATCTTGCTGCTGAATGAAGGGGTTCGGAATGGCTTCCATCCCGTCCTGCGGGCAGATGAGGACCACGGAGGTCCCTCTGCAGACCACCAGGCCCAGCTGGCGGGTGTCTTCCGTGAGTTTGTACTGGTCATCCGGATCTGAAGAGGAGGTTAATCAGAAAACGTTAAATGGGTAGGCAGACAACAGGCGAGGGTCTCTCCCCTGGGCAAAGGCTCTGGTTCCAGAGCAGCAGATGGGAAAACGGGAACCCCATGAGGTCACCTAGCTGGGCCAGGAAGCGTCAGAGAGGAAAGCCCACCCCCACCCGCCCGAGGCCAGAGCGCGCCCAGGACCACCACCACCCATCTCCCGCCCCTCACGGGGAGAGCCGAAAGCCCCGCGCCAGGGCCGCCCCCCACCTTCCCTCCGGGGGGGGGGCTTCGGGCACCCACCTCTCATGTATTCGATGGTGCCGTCCAGCACCAGGTTGAGCAGCGGGTCGAAGCCTTTCAGGACGCCGCTGGCTGTGGGAGAGAAAGGGAGAAATGGCCGGCACTCTCCGTGCGACCGTAGGACTCCCAAGCCCCGGCCGCCGACCCCGCCGCCGCCACTCACCTTCCCGGCCGCCCTGGAACTTCACGCGGATGGTCTTGTCGATGTACTTGGAGAGGTCCAAGATGCTCTCCTTCTTCTTCTTCTCCTTGTCCTGCGGGCGGAGCAGAAGGACGTTAAGCCCCGACGCCACCCGGAGGGGAAGAAAGCCGCCCCCTCTTGCGACCCGCCCCCCCCCACCCCGCAGCGGCCCGCCGCTCACCGCCATCTTGCTCTCGCCGGGGATCCCGCGCCCGGGGCCTCGTGGCGTCACTTCCGCCCACGGCCCTCCAGGGACCCCCCTCTCGCCTCTTCTCCAATTACCGTCTGGGAGTGCGGTCACGTGACCGGCGGGCGCATCCACGAGCCACCGAGACTTCCGGGGCTCTCGCGCGAGGCTCCTCGGGCCGATCCCCGTTCCGCTGCGGCGCCGAAGCGAGGCTCGAGAGGGGCTCCCGGGCCGCCCCGCCACGGACTCCGGCTTCCCGCTCCCGGAAGCCTCCGCGGGAGGCCACTCTGGCCGCGAAGAGGCGAAGCTCCCTGGCCGGCCGGGGAGGAACTTCCGGGGTTGCTAAGTAACGGGCGCCCGCTTCCTGCCTGGCGAGGGTCGCCCTTCCCCGCCGCTGCTGCCGCTGCCTCCGGTGCCCGCGGGAGACGAGAGGGAGAGGCGGCCATGGCGGCTGCCGGGCCGCGCGGGTGGGTGCTGGCGCTGCTGGTGGCCCAGGTGAGCGCCCGCGGAGACGGGGCGGGGGATGGGAGGGGGCGGCTGGCCATCCGTCTGGCGGGGATCCCCGAGCTGCCCCGGCTGCTCTGCCTCCCGCCAGGTCTCCGGCGAGTTCGGCGTGGTGCGCGTCTTCCCTGAGAAGGGCGGCGGCGGCGGCGGCGGCGGCGGCGGGAAGGACTACTGCATCCTCTTCAACTCGCAGTGGGCGCACCTGCCGCACGACCTGGCCAAGGCGGTGAGTGCGTCGGGGCGGGGGGGGGGGGGGGGGCGGGGGCGGGCCGGCCGGCTGACGGAAGGGCTCCCCCGGTGCCTCACTCCTCCCGCTCCCCCCACAGTCCCTGCTGGCGCTGCAGGATCAGACGGTGTCTTTCTTGTGCGCGGCCTCCGAGGTGCCCGAGGGAGGCTTCGGCAACGCGGTGCCCATGGTGATGCGGGGCAACTGCACCTTCTACGAGAAGGTTCGCCTGGCGCAGGTGAACGGCGCTCGGGGGCTGCTGATCGTCAGCAAGGAGAGGCTGGTGAGTCCGCTCGCGGGGACCCTCCCGGGCTGGGGACGGCCGCCGTTGTCCTGTTTTCCCTTTTGTGATCTTTGTTAAGGAAATGTTTCACCAAGTTAAAAGATGAAACGGGATAGATAGGGGGAAAAAAAAGCAAGAAAGTGTTGGAACATTAGAAAGCAAAAAGAAGACAGAAGATACTAAAGGAATGACTTTCAATTGTCATACACATCCTTGAAACTGTTTCCCCCTTCTGAATTGCCTCACGTGGGTCCCTTCTCCCCTATTCAACCCCAAAGAATCAGTACGTTCGGAAACCATCACTTCATTTCAATCCACATGAAGTCCACAAAAGGTTTACAGTCTTTTATAACAGTAGCTGCTGTTCCCTCCCTAATCAAACATCGATTCAGCCATTTCTGCAAGTTCTGCCGTGGTCACAACCCATTCGTGAAGGCTTAAGGTCATTCTGTCCTGTCTGTATTGCCCTTTGGTCTCCCCATGGCCCTTGTGTTCCTAAACACGCATATCCTGTAACAATTTTAGCGTCTTAGAGTCTCCTTCCAATGCCTATATAGGTTGAACAAAGCTGCTCTGATGCTTGTTAAATAGATGCTGGTGAGTTTAGATTTTGGGCCACAGAAATTGAGTTGGTGTTTCCTAGGTGGTCTATTTAGGTGCTGCTTTCCTTTCTCCTCTTCTCATCAGGTGCCCCCCGCTGGTAACCGGAGTCAGTATGAGGAAATTGATATCCCAGTTGCCCTGCTTAGCTATGCAGATATGCTGGACATAGGACAGGTGAGCCTTCTCCTGCCTTTGTGTGTTCTTTCACATAGTCAAGCATGAGGCGCTTCTAGCTAAAATGTTGGGGAAACTGAAATGCAGAATCATTTCCAATGAAAGTAACATTGACCATTTAATTGATAAATATTGGTAAATTGTGGAACAAATATAACCCACCCACCCCCAAGGAAAGAGTAGTGATGGTTAAATAAATAGCACATCTTGGTTTTTTTACTGGTAGGCTCTTGCCTTGCAGACTGGGCCCCCCCCTAAAGTATTGAATTGGAAAGATGAACATCCAGTTGCCCTTTGCAGGGGATCTCACTGTTTCACGTAGCAGAGTGTTCTGCCTTTGCTCTCCTCTAGTTTTCTGGGGTCTCATCAACCCTCCAGGAATTGTCAAGCATTGCCAAAAGAGTTTTTCCCAGATCATTTCTGTAACTTCTCTGTGGGGGAATTCATTGGTCCTGCTGAGAGACACAATCAGAGTTCCTTCCATTTCTACTTAAGGCAGCCCAGTGGAAGCAGAGAGGATGACAGTTATTCTACGCAAAATATTCCTGGTTTGATTCTGATAGTGTCACCAAATAAGCCTGAGGGAAATGATTCCCCCCTGCACCCCTAGAGAGCACCAGTTGTATAGCTGCAATCTGCAGAAATTGTGGGCTGCTTTAGAAGAGAGATGTAACTGCACATCTCAGCCAGTCCATGCTTTGCAACTGCTTGACCCTGCCATCTCTCAACACCTTCACTGGATGGGTGGCCAAGGAGAGGGTTAGGCCCCTTCCTTTCTCCAGTGAAGCTATGCTCAGTTCCTTTCGGTGGCAAAAAGACAGTTTGGCCTCTTGCAGGGGTCTTTTAATGGCTTCAGTAGCCACCTTCATAAAGTGGAGGAGAATTGATCCTGGGTTAGTTTCTGGCAAAAAGAAAAACTAAATGGCACAGTATACAAACAATTTATGTTTTTTATCCTGTGGCTGTTCACCCCCTGAGTCCTTCGGGAGTAGGTCGGTATACAAATCAAATAAAACTAAACTAAACTAAACTAATAATTGTTGTCTGGTTAACTGGAATGGGGGCAGCATTGTATGTTCTCTTTGAAAAATTAAGCATGCTTTAAAACTCATTTGTTTCTGGGGAAGAAGTGCTCTTTTAGCTCTATGCTTATGTATTTCATTAAAATATTTATACCTGTCTGTTATTTAAGAGCTGAGCAGGGGGAGCTGTAGATGATTTAAATACCTAAGCCGGGCAATGATGGGGATGTCCCATAGGGAAGCTGAAAAAACATTCCATAATAATAGATATGACAAACCTTGATTTTTTTTTTTACTTAGGACATTTGGGGGGAGGGGGTTGGCTTTAGTTGGTTTGTGTGCTGTGCTGATTCCATGTGGTTGTAATAGTCTCTTGGTGGTTCCTGAGATGCTTTTGATGTAGTGTGATCCTTTTTACAACTTGTGTTGGTTGTGCTGTATTGGGTTGAGTGATCAGGCACTTTTTGATGAGGTGTGGACATCCACTTTGTTGGAAGATAAGAGTAAACAAAGAAAGGTTTTAATAGAATTAGGCAACCAGTCAAAACTGGATTTTTGGGGAAATTTAAAAAGGAACCAAAGAGTTTTAAATACCTTTGTGAGAAAGTGGTGTAGGATTTCCTGCCTAAGCAGAGGGTTGGAGTAGAAGACCTCCAAGGTCCCTTCCAACTCTGTTATTCTGTTTTTCCCCCAAGTGGATTGTTTGGGGATCTATTGTATGAGGATTGTCTGCTTAACAAAGATAAGAGACCAGAAGGAGACTTCAAGTAGTCCTCAACTTACTTACTTACTTACTTACTTACTTACTTACTTACTTACTTACTTACTTACTTACTTACTTACTTATTTATTTATTTATTTATTTATTTTTCAGATTTCTATACCGCCCTTCTCCTTTCGGACTCAGGGCGGTGAACAGCCAAGATAAAACATTTATACACAAAAGTTAAAATAGATTTTAAATAATTAAATAAATTTGGACCGTAATTTAAAACATTTCAATTAAAATCCATATCAAATTTTAAAACCAACCATTAAATCAAGACAGCCCGGCTAACTGAAAAAAATAGGTTTTTAGGGCCCGACGAAAAGTCCGGAGGTCGGGGATCACTCGTATCTCTGGGGGTAGATTGTTCCAGAAGGTAGGTGCCACCACAGAGAAGGCTCTCCCCCTGGGGGTCGCCAGCCGACATTGTCTGGCCGACGGCACCCTGAGGAGGCCCTCTCTGTGGGAGCAAACTGGCCGGTGGGAGGCAATTGGTGGCAGAAGGCGGTCCCGTAAGTACCCCGGCCCTAAGCCATGGAGCGTTTTAAAGGTGATCACCAACACCTTGAAGCACACCCGGAAGGCCACCGGAAGCCAATGCAGCTCGCGTAGGAGAGGAGTCACATGGGAGTGCCCCGTTGCTCCCATAATCCCCCGCACGGCCGCATTCTGCACCAGTTGGAGCCTCCGGGTGCACCCCAAGGGGAGCCCCATGTAGAGAGTGTTACAATAGTCTAGACGAGAAGTGACCGTGCATAGGGAGTCCCGATCCAGAAAGGGGTGCAACTGGCATATCAGGCGAACCTGATAAAAAGCCCCCCTGGCCACGGCCGTCATATGCTCTTCTAAAGACAACCATGCGTCCAGGAGGACGCCCAAGTTGCGGGCCTTTTCCGTGCGGGCCAATGATTCGCCCCCAATAACCAGCGATGGCACCAGCTAGCTATACCGGGACGCCGGCAGCCACAGCCACTTGGTCTTGGAAGGGTAGAGTCGAAGACTGTTTCTCCCCATCCAGACCCGCACGGCCTCCAGGCACTGGGACATCACTTCCAAGGCATCGTTGGGATGGTCTGAGGTGGAGATGTACAGCTGAGTATCATCAGCGTACTGATGGAACTCCACCCCAAAACCACGGATGATCTCACCCAGCGGCTTCACATAAATGTTGAACAGGAGGGGCGAGAGGACCAATCCTTGTGGCACCCCACAAACAAGGCGCCTTGGGGTCGACCGCTGCCCCCCTGTCAACACAGACTGCGACCAGTCGGAGAGATAGGAGAACCACCGCAAAACGGTGCCCCCCACTCCCAGTCCCTCCAGCCGGTGCAACATGATACCATGGTCGATGGTATCAAAAGCCGCTGAGAGATCTAACAGGACCAGGATAGAGGAGTAACTCCTATCCCAAGCCCTCCAGAGATCATCCACCAACGCGACCAATGCCGTTTCCGTGCTGTACCCAGGTCTGAAGCCGGACTGGAGCAGATCTAAATAGACAGCTTCATCCAGGTATTGGGGAAGCTGTCGCGCCACCACACTCTCAACAACCTTCGCAATAAAACGAAGGTTGGAGACTGGACGATAGTTAGCCAAAACAGCCGGATCCAGGGATGGCTTCTTGAGGAGGGGCCTCACAACCGCCTCTTTCAAGGCAGGTCACCCTCACTCAAAGAAGCTTACGGCTATTTGTTTAATAACCAATTGAAATTATGAGAGTGCTGAAAAGTTATGACAAGTCCTCATACTTATGACCGTCACAACATTCTGATGGTCACGTGATCAAAATTTGGGCGCTTGGTAACCAGCATGTACTTACAACAGTTGCAGCGTCCTGGGGTTATTGACAGCCACTTATGACCTTCCCA